TTATGGCCGTCAGATGATTGAGAAAACAAAGGATGAGGTCGAGGCAAGATACACCATATCCAATGGCTACACGCATGATGCCAAAGTCATCTACGGAGACACCGATTCTGTCATGGTCAAATTCGGAACCACGGATCTCGCTGAAGCCATGAAACTTGGTGAAGAAGCTGCGGGGTTCGTATCGTCGAAGTTTATGAAGCCTATTAAACTGGAGTTTGAAAAGGTCTACTACCCGTATCTCCTTATCAACAAGAAGCGATATGCTGGTTTATACTGGACCAACCCCGTCAAGTATGACAAGATGGACACTAAGGGCATAGAAACTGTTCGGAGAGACAATTGTCTCCTGGTTCAAACTGTCATTGAAACCGTTTTGAACAAAATTCTTATCGACCGGAATGTCAGTGGAGCGGAAACGTAAGTATCTTTACCCTTTTCAACGAAACTCTTAATACATAATAAATGCTAATATTTCTTTTAGCTATGTTAAAAATATAATCTCAGACTTGCTTCAAAACAAAGTTGACATGTCAAAACTTGTTATAACAAAAGCCTTGACCAAGGAAGAATACACGGGTAAACAAGCCCATGTGGAGCTTGTTGAACGTATGAGAAAACGAGACGCGGGCTCTGCACCCACTCTTGGTGATCGTGTTGCCTACGTTATCGTTGGTGGCGCTACAGGAGCTAAAAATTATGAGAAATCAGAGGATCCGATATATGTCCTCGAGAATAACATCCCCATTGATACCCGATATTACCTAGAAAATCAACTTGCCAAACCCTTGACACGTATTTTCGAACCTATACTCGGCGAAAAGAAGGCTGCTCAACTGCTGAAGGGTGACCACACTCGCTCTATCACAGTGGCAGCACCGACTCTTGGAGGATTGATGAAGTTTGCTAAGAAGACCCAAACGTGTATGGGTTGCAAGAAACCGCTGGTCGGCAAGGAAGAGATGTCGGGTGCTGTATGTTCAAACTGTCGGCCCAGGCTGGGAGAATTATATACCCGAACGCTCAACAAAGTTTCAGAGCTTGAGGTAAGGTTTGGTCGTCTCTGGACACAATGTCAACGTTGTCAAGGTAGTTTGCACGGTGAAGTCATTTGCTCGAGTCGAGATTGCCCTATTTTCTACATGAGAATGAAGGCGAAAAAGGACGTTGAGGATTCTGAAAAAGAACTCGCTCGATTTGATAACGACCCTGGTGCGTGGTAGTGAACCAACCTCCTTGTGCTCCTTTCAAGCCTCGCACATACCAATACCCCTTGACCCCTTCTGGCACCGTTGTTTTACTGTTTACTTGTCATGATATTATGTTTTATTATTTTCAATGTTCGGTATAGATTCACTTGGAGTTTGCCGCATAGCTAGCTAAGCACATGCTGGAGTGGTTGGTTTTGTTTTCTGAAACATCCTAATGAAATCGAAATGAGAGATATTTCATCTATCCTACAGACGTAAATATAAAAGGTTCGTCATCCCTAACAAATTCGTTCGTCGGCCGCCAGTAGGCGTTTTAGAAGTTGAAGCTCCGCCAAAACTTAACTAACTAGTTAATTAGTTAACTAGTTAGTTGAGTTAGTGCCGAAACCCTTCTTTTTAATCACATCCATTGTCGTTTTTCGTTCCGTTCATCAGTATCAGGGAATTAGCCTGACAGCGAAAACATTTGGGACAGATGAGAGGCAGTGGACACCGATAACATCGACGCGATCCTCGGCTGCAAAGATACGATCCCTGCCGCGACAATGCTGGCACCTAACATGGCACCACTAGCAACAATAATGCCTAGTATCTTTCTCTGTCTCTGTTCTTTGGCCTTGACGACACTGAACCTCTCATGTTGAAATTGAATCCTTGCATATAACGTTGTCCAGCCTAAAGCCGGTAACCATCCACCGAGAAAACGGTCAATCATATTCATTATCCTTGTGATTCGAGACCTAACGCCGATCCGGAGCTCGTGGTAATGCTCACTCGCAAAATCCACCATAGTGTGAATATCAGGCAGCCTGAACTCTGTATAGGCTTGTACAGTGCCTGGAGCACAGAATGGCTTCTCCTTTGCAAAGCCATTGCTATCCATCTCCTCTGGCAAAGCAGATACCCCAGGGTCACGGAACTCTTCGAAGAATACACGCACATCTTCAAGGCCGGTGATCATACCCATTGCATGGAAAGGAGTCATTGTGTGGCAGCTATCGCCCAGGAGCACAGCATTGTCTTCATACCCAAGTTTCCCACATTTGATCGACTTTAACGGGATCTTTTGGTGTGCAAGGAATTGTCTTGTTACCTCCTCTGCCGAAAGAAGCTCTGGCACTATTCCAGCAAATTCTCTGACAAAAAATTCCGAAAATGCCTCCGGATGTGCTTCAAAGTATCGAAGCTTTTCTGTGTCACAAACCATTCCGGCCCTAAATGAACCGTCCTGTAACTTGTCAATGGTCATATCAATGGAAAATCTGATGGATAACACGTACAATATCGGTCTGAGCGATAACAATGCTCTGGTTAGATGGCCATATGTGAAGACACTTAGGGTCTATTCGATAGTGGCCGTTCTTATCCGGAGGGAAGATCAGATCACACCACATTGCATTGGCGTAAGTCTGCGAGAAGTCCATTTCAAGGCTTCGCATCATACTCTGCCGAACACTGGAATAGGTTCCATCCGCTCCAATCAAAAAATCAAAGTCCACGCGCTTGGTGCTTGATACATTTCCTAGCCCCAGAGATACATTTTCGCACCCTTTCCCAGTTCCGTTAGGTATAGGCGACACATGGCCTAGGACAGCATTTGCCAGCTCCTGTTCTGAGAAACGGGACTTCTCTCGCCAAGTCACCGTCTCAAAAGTTGCTGTTTTCCTTTCGAAGTCGCATGCTGATAGTTTCTGGTTGAAAAAGAGCTTTGCTGTAGGCTCTTTGAGAAGTGCCAGCATAACATGTCTGGTTATCTTCTCTCGTTGCAGAGTGTGAAGACACTATGTGTGCCAGTTACTAAGTTGCAAAGCAAATATATGTGCGTTCAACGTACCTGTCCCTGCGGCCCGTATGTCATTGGGATTTGCATGTGCTGCCCCTGACTTCCCCATGTATGAACCATTCGTTTATACACTGGCCTTGAATTGTCCAGGATATCTTCAAGCAGTCCTGGCACACCTGCGCTGGCGATGGCCCTGATACCGCGCTCTGAGAGGGCTAGTGGGATAACTGCAATATCCGGCCTAGCATTTGGGTCACCATAGTTTGGATCTAAGCAGCTGGTCAATTTGACGTTTCTAGTCCACAATTAGCCACAACCTACCATCCCTCAGCTCATACAACTCGACTTGATAACCTCTTCTAGCAGCATAAAGCGCAGATAACGCTCCAACAGGGCCCCCTCCAACGACAACCACTTTCTGTGAATGAAGCATTGTTTCAAGTACGATTGAGACAGATGGTTATGCGGAAAACAAACTTCAAATTGAACCTTTTTATATCCACTAGGATTACCCGACCATTTAAATACCCCTCTCTTCCAACATAGTGGACATGTGGGTTTAAATTGTTGATTGAGTGGCTTCCCTAGTCCCAAAAGCTGATCGTTCTGGGGGCTCCTTGCAGTTCAGCTCCATCGTGCGTCGCAATTTCTTATTGGAAGCAGTATGTCATCAGCCTCATAATCAATACCGAGTACGAACTGTACACGAATGGAATCATTCTGATGATATGGATGTGCTTACGCTTCAACAGCTGGGTCTCCTGTGAATCCCTCAAATGCTAGGCTATGCTAATTAGTGGTGGTCATCCAGAGTTAAAAAAGATTTTATGCTGGGCAATTTTTTCACTCGCTTATGGCTTTTTTTATTTGCAATCCATTAGATTCAATTTCTCGATGTGGGTTCGATTGAGAAATACAAACTGCCTTGGAATATCAAAATATCACACCCTGGAGAATAAATTCACATTTTAACCCCTAGTGGCTACGGGGTTTACCTTCTAACATCGACTAGTATGACAGAGCCCGCCATGCAAATACTCTATTAGGAAGGCTATAGAAGGATGTGAGTCTGGACTGTGAATATTGACAACTGATCCAACCAGAGTTATTCTTCTTAGACTATATTTGAGAGTTCACCTCATGTTTCGGGTTTATACGTCGTGTCACACTCTCGCAGCCTCCAAAATGCCTCATTAGTGCAACTATAGGAGACAGGGGGGTCAAGACACTTTCTAGCTGACCATTCATATTGAATTCAAGACCTTGATATATCGTAATTCCTTCGTATGCACTATCCTTTACTCGACAGTTTCATCAGAACAGGAAGTTTGGCTGTTTACCTCCTTTGATCCTTTCGTACTTGATGTCAGCCGCAGGCTCTGATCCCTCTCTCTCTGTGTGTGTTGTCTTAGACACTCGCGCTCTTCTCGTCCACCTCTTACGAACGAGCTTTTATAGCAGCCATTCCATTTTGTTTGGACAATATGATTAAGGATTCTTTCGGCTATAAAGGAGCCGAGTATTCTTGGAATTATATGCCATGTGAGCACAATGCTGCAAGGAGGATGTATATCCCCTGCTACCCCTTGTTAGTGAGGATTTATTTATAGATTGCTTACGTTGTTTAGTTAACTAGGTATAGGCTTTGGGGTGAACGTCTTTGCTTACGGGCGTTGCAACCCCGGATTTGCCACGACAGCCCATGACTCAATACTCTGTCTAATCGCACTCGCTTAACTGCATGCAAGTCTGGTTATTATGCAGGGAAAGGCCACAAGCACGCGGGGGGAACTCAGAGGCGGCTGATCAGGCTGAAAGTTGGATCTAACCGCTGCAGACTTGACTTTGTTGCTAGTAAGAGGATAATTTGACCCTCCTTGATCAACTAAGAACTCGATCCATGGGATAAATACATTGAGAACGTATGATTCGAGCACGAGTTACGGACTACTGTGTGAAATCTACAGTGATTCTCCTCGACCACACATAGAAGTATGGCGACCTCAAACATGGACCAGAGGCGAGATGAGCCAGGTTCCGCGCCGATTGAACTGTTTTCCATTCCCACCGGGCAACTTCCACCTGTGGGATCGGACACGGCCAAGCAAGACAGTTCTGAGGATGGCAAAGGGACGAAGGACGCCATTAGCTCGTCAAATGACTTGCACCCTGGAACCCCTCCCGCGTCAGCAGAGGATGGAGATATGCGGGCGCTCGAATCTCCCAAAATATCAAAGGTCAGAGGTGTAACAGTTATTATCACTTTGGCCGGCATAAGTTTCTTAAACACCATGGGATCTGGTATTCTCATTGCCGCGCTACCCCGGATAGCTAAGGATGTTGGTCTCTCTGAGAGCTTGATCCTCTGGCCAGCAGCAGTTTATGCCCTGGCTGCAGGTTGTCTGCTTCTGATATTTGGTGCCGTGGCCGATGTTATTGGGGCCAAGCTGATGTGGGTTGTTGGGAGCTACCTCTTCGTTATATTCTCACTTGCTATTGGATTTTCCCAGACGAGTATACAGATTATCCTATTTCGAACCTTCCAAGGTGCCGCAATATCCATGTGTCTACCTACCGCGGTGAGTCTCATTACCAATACGTTTGCTAAAGGCCCATGGCGCAATGTTGCCTTTGCTATGAACGGAATGGGACAGCCCCTTGGTTATGCTGCTGGGTTGGTGTTGGGGGGTATCTTCACAGATACTATCGGCTGGAGATGGGCGTATTACATGATGGGAATTATCAATTTCTGTCTCTCAACGGCCTCTATATGGTCCCTACCATCGGTTCACCAGCATTCTGATAAGCCGTGGAACCGCCGTCTTATGGAAGACATCGACTGGCTCGGGGCGATTATAATGAGCGCAGCACTGGGTCTATTGATGTATGTCCTAGCTATGACGACGTCCTCTTACAAGAGGGTAGGGAATGCTCAGAACATTGTCTTACTTGTGGTATCAATCCTTTTGCTTGCAACTTTCCCTTTTTGGATGAGGTTCCAAGTGAAAAGAGCGAGACCTGCACTTATTCCAAACAAGCTATGGAAAAATAGCGCTTTCTCTTCAATCTGCGCTTCAGTATTTTTCTGTTGGGCCTCCCTTAACGGGATTGAGTACTTTACAACCCTATAGTGAGTATGATTCTCACTCCTTTCAAAGTCAGAGTTTCTGATATGGCGAAAGTTTCCAGAAGGTAGAGGGCATAACTGCATTTCAGAGTTCCATCCGTTTCCTCGCGCATATAATAATGGGAACATGTGTCAATATTGCGACAGCATATCTCATTTCCAGAGTCAAGGTCCAGACCCTTGGTGTTGTTTCGGCTTTGGTAACCATGATTGCACCCATTCTCATGGCAACCATCAAAGTTGGAGAAAACTACTGGTTCTCTCCGTTTTGGGCGTTATTTCTATCACCTGTCAATCCCGATGGTAACATTCCCCTTTCCTTTATCATGTTTGCACTAGGCTGATGTGTGAAACATGTAGTACTTTTCACAGTATCTAATCTAGTCATCTCTGACGCATTTCCCCCGGATATACAGTCTTTGGCTGGAGGGGTATTTAACGAAGTTGCGCAGTTTGGAAACTCGGTTGGTCTTGCAGTTACAGCTTCTATAGCTGCATCAATATCAGACCATAAAACCATCCAGGATCATAAAGAGAGGCTTATGCTGGGCTATAGAGGCGCTTTTTGGACCATATTTTCGAGCTGTGCTCTTGTCGTGATCATTTCGTTCTTTGGTTTACGGAAGGGGGGAACCGTCGGGAAGAAAGAAGAATAAAGGCTGGTCCAAATCACGGCCAATAAGTTAAATATGGTATATATAACGGTACGGAGTGCATATATAAGGTCAATAATAATACAGGTGTAGAAGGATGGATGGTTTTATTTAAATTGGCCGTCAATAACACTTGGAAATTATAGTTTTTCCTCTTGGCGTTCTCCAACACCAAGCGAGGAGCCGCAATAGCCGCACCAATACGAAGTCTAGCGTTTACTAGCCGCCGGCTAACCGAAGCTTGATCAAACACCCGATTTTCAAGTTCTTCAAACCAGTACTGGACGGTTGGATATTCTGCGCTGAGAAGTTGTTTAGGTATCTGGACGATTCGCCGGTTATCAGATGGGCTTTCTTTCGTCTGAAATTGCAAGTGGGCGACCACAGACCCAATCTCAAATGCCACATGATTCCACCCCCCTATTAGAGGTAGGTCCAGCAGTGATCGCGTGGATTCCTATAAAACATATACCCGGACATGTCACCCAGTCACTTTACACTATGGAGCATTCTGACAATGAGCCGAATTGGTTAGCTCTTTTTGCAACATGAATCGAACATCAATAATCACCTTGAACTTTGCGCCAAAGTTCGTGGTCAGACACCGCAGTCGACGATTTCGTTCTTTGCCATATCATCTATGATAAATCAGAGCCAGCGATTCATGGAAGATATCAAGAAAATTAGGGAAGAATTTGTATTTAAACCTTCTCCGAGGAATTTATCTACGCTCACCAAGCCATACTAATTCAGCGACAGTTTCTCCACAATACGGCAAGACCAGTAACAAGGTCGAAGAGTTCGAGACAGCCCAGTGCCACAATAAATGGCACAGTGAATAGCATGAAAGCAAACACTTCATCTATGAATGGAGAAAAAACACAAAAATCAATACCCAATAGTGATGAATCCTCAACAAGACGCAGAAAACGTTCAAGACATTCGAGCGACTCTTTAGTCTCCGGCAGTAACACTGTTGAGGAAAGAACGGACTTCAAGAGGCCAAAGGGTTTGTTAGGCGGTCCTTCTGTACGGAAAGGTGCGCCTGAAGAACCAGAAGACGTACCTTCTATTGAGCTTGAAGATATATCCACTGAAGTCGAAGCGCGGCTAAAGCTCAGGGAGAAAACTCGGCGGAAGAAGCGAGAGAAAAATCGGAAGAGAAAGAGGGAGAGCATTGAATCGGCAGGTGGTGGAGCCAGAGCAAAGAAAGTGAAAAATAGCGGAGATACCCCCTAGACAACGCTATATCTGTGAAAAGATTATCGGTGAAGGCTCTAAGCCATGCCTCATGGAGACACTTCACAAAGTCTCTGGCTTCCTCAAGCAATATTATAGGTGAAGTATAAGCAACGACTTCCCTATCGCGGCTCCAATGAAATATCTTATTCTTCCGGGCTGGCATGTTACTTATAGTAGTTTTAGGGGTTTCATAGAGGATGCAAATGCCCAGGCAAATCAAGTCACTCTAATATCAACATGGAATAGGGTAGTGACATACTGACCTGCTCCGAAATTGCACGCAGGTATAATCACCAGTTTAACTCATGTCAATAAATCACTTTTACCTAGGATTTGTCCAGGATAAAATCTGCAACATTACTCCCCTTGCTTCCCTGGGGTTCCTACCATAGATTTCTGTCTGGTACTTCTCTATTTCTCTACAAAAAAAAAAGCCAATAACCCTCCGACAATATCGACTTTTAATAAAAAGGGGTCAAAAAGAACCACCGAGCAATACACGAAGAAATCAAATGGAGACAAAGATCCCTCTGGACTGCCCCATCCTTGTCCCCGAGTCAACATTCACCGGGGAGGAAACACCTAGACCCCATAATTTTGCCTATATGTGGTCCTGGGCCAAAATAATATGGGGTGATGATCTTATGATGGTTACAGAGGAAAAAGAAGAAAAAAGCCAGGCAAGTCTTCCGGTGTGGCGATCGTACTGAAAAGTAACCTAGCTAAGAAGTGTATAGCAAGAGGTTGACCCTGAAAGTCCTAAGGATCAGAATGAGACAGCGGAGAAGAGTTCGAAAGCCGAGCTGAAAACCACCTGAGGCTTTGTGTATGCTTATCAATCAATGCTGATTACATTCATGATACAGGAATTTTGAGATTCTATTGATAAGAATTCATATTTTGTACCACTTGGTTCCCATATGTCTCTATGACTTGCTGCTTGCGCAGGTAACTTTCTAGTAGTCTAGCTATTCTGCCGGTAGCTTCGTTGGAGCATAAAGATGGACTGGTGCATATTAAGGGAATGAATGAGTGGATTAGTTGAATTAACCTCTGTCAAAGAGGTTTAATTAGTCGTTACTGATGACAGCATCATTTTATTATACAAACTCATGGCTTTCTCACCAGCAAGAGAGCCACGGAATAGCTTGAAAGAGCTAGAACCGGTATGCCGTTAGAAGTCCTGTTTGCTGCCACCTGTTCCAGGTATTGGCAGCTGCCTGGTAGGGAGAATCCGGGTATGTAGGCCTAGTGTAGATCCACGACGCTGTTCTTGGTGACATCGGGCGTCTATGGAGTATCAGTCCAGCCACAGATAGCAATTCTGGCATCGCATAGGCACATTGGGAATGAAGGAGCAGTCGCCCACCAGCAGAAACTAGCTTGTTGAATCTTTCTCGTTCTGCTCGACCGGCTGCACCTCTTGCTGCTCGACCGGGTTCTTCTCTGTGTTGCCGCCTTGCTCGCGGCCCTCATCCAGCCTCCAGGCATCTCGAAAATAGTCCATCATTATCTCAGAATATGATTTCCCTTCCGCCAGGGCTTTTCTTTCTTCCTCCCGCCTCCTCTCTATCCATCCTTCAGTCTCCCTGCCCATCCAGAACTTTCTAATACTCTTTCTCAAGCTGGGTTTTTCTTCCTCCTCTTCTTCTTCACCAAGCATGCTACCTCGTAGCCTCTCTAATTCTTGCTCCTGAATTCTCGCAATCCGCATCCGTTCATTTAACTCTTCGGCTTTTTTCGTCGGAAGGTCATTGAGAAGGGTTGGCTTTGCTGGAACCAAGGTTGCCATCTGCGAGAGTATGCCTTTGCCCGTCCGTTCCGTCAGAAGGTAGTCTACTGAGGCGACGCATGCCGTTACTAGGGCAGCCGTGTACACGTCGAGCTTTCGAGGAGGCAGGGCAATGAGTATTGGAGCAGCAACGCCAATCCCAACGGCTGCATAGAGCTTGAATCTCTTGTAGTCTTCAGCTCGTTTCTTAGCGAGCTCCGAGGGTTGCGACATGTTTGGTTAAATGGCCAGCTGGATATCCGCAGGATCGATAGCAATGATGATATTTTTTCCTCGGTATATAAGTGTAAGAGGCCGGTAGTATCACAATTGAATGCGTGTATATATTCGTATATCGTCAAATGCGTTGTCTTGGTAAGTGAATGAAGGAGAGTTGGTTGTTCGACACCGAGAAAAAAAAAAAAAAAGAATTGGTTGATGCTTGGCTTGATTTCTCAGCTCCCGATTCTTCGTTCACCAAGCAATGAAAGAACTAACTAATAACTAGAATAATTATGATACCGCCTGCTCCTGATAGATTCGCTGGATGCAAGAACATAAAATCTCCCTTCAACTCCCTAGGATAACTAAGAATATCCCATGCGATTGTGCCACGGCGCATTAAACAAATTACCACTCGATCTCTTTAGCCCCTGGCGCAGCCTCAAAGCGGACCGTCCCATCGTCGTTACGACCAGCAGCCCCAATGATTCCTCCGGAAATCTCATCGATGACTTGACCGAAGTTCCTTGTCTGGCTGATCTTGCAGCGTTTGGTCGCAGACTCGCAATGCGCAACCAGTGCGGCGGAGGATTTGAACATGCGCAGGCACACCGGACAACTATACCAATGAACATTGAATAAAGTTAGGAGTGAATTGGACCAAAAAATAATTGAAATGCAAAGAAGGGATGGATACGGATGGACCTACCGGGCGACTCCTGCTGCATGGACGCCAGACGCAATGTGCTGCTCAAGGGCTTCCTTGGTCTTGAACGAAGTGTCGCAGGGGCAAATATAGGTGCCGTGAACATCGCTGAAGAACTTGCTGAGCTCAACCTCAGACAGAGCGATCTTTTTACTGGTCTCATGCTCGCTCAATGTGCGGGCTGGGATGACACGGGAGGTATCCCAGCCAGAGCCCGAGTCGGAGCCTGACACACTCAGAGGTTCTGGACGGGGGATGACTGTCTCGATAGAAGGTCTGTCCTGGTCTTTTCTGCTTCTAGCAACAGATGTCTCCGAGAAGGCCATGAGGTCGTCAGCCTTGAAGTTGGAGCGGGAAGAAGGCCCGCCGCGGTCGCTGCCTTCGTCCTCATCGCCTCCTTGACGCAGAGTTGGCCACTGCTTGATGCTGCGGACAGATTCTGGGGCGGCAACAGAACCACCAAACGGGCCTGCTCCAATGCCCATGGCACCCATCTTCTCAGTAATGGAGGCCTTCTTTGCTTCGATCTCGGCTGGCTTGTCGGCACTCTCTTCCAGCACGCTATCGATGGCTACTACGACGCCGCCGTCGACGCTGGAAGCAGCAGACGAGAGCAAGAAGGAGTGGTGCGTAGCTAGGTGTTCGTTCATCTTCTCCTTGACGGCCTTCTTCTCGACCCGTCTCATGCGGTACTTGTCGAGGCTGATCTTCTCGCAGCGGCCCTGCTCGACGTGCGCCATCAGGGGAGCAGCGCGCAGGAACTTGGTCTTGCATCCGATACACTCGATATTCTGCTCCTCGCGGTGGAACTATCAAGCAGTTAGTCTGAATGATTCTCTCTGTCTCACACTCTCTACTGTTTGCTGTAAAAAAAAAGAGTGTTTACCTGCTGGATATGCACGTCTCGGCCGCCTTCACTGCGGAAGTCGTCAAAGCAGATGGGACAGATGATGTGCCTAGAGCTCTTCATCTTATGGAGGAGCAGGTCCTCCTCGAACTTGAAGTCCTCGTTGCATCTCTCGCAGTATTCATGGTCAGGAGCGAACTTCTTGTGGTTGATGAGCTGTCCGGCCGTTGCAAACGCCTGGTGGCAGCCCTCGTAGGGGCAAGGGAAGGCTCTCGAGCTGCTGGAAGGCTTCTCGTTCTCCATCTTTGCCGTCTGGCAGCAGCAGGTACAGTGAGCAGTGAGTAGGGAGCAGGGAGCAGGCAGTTTGGATATTGAAGAAGCAGGTAAAGATAAAAGGTGAAGAGTGAGGAGTGGAAGTGAAAGATCTCAGTCCCCTTTTTTATATATCCTTAGCTCCGCGTAACAGAAGCCAGAAGATGGCAGCACTAAGCAGATGGACTCAAAGCAGGCTGACAGGCTGGTATCTACAAGGAGAGAAGTGCTGTCATGCTTATTTCTCTACATGTCCAGTGACAAAGGCAGTGAGGCAGCAGGAAGTGAATGAGCCTTGACTACTTTGTTGAAGCTGTAGATGCTAACTTGATATTCACATACATATGATATATATATCTATATATACCAAAAACAGATCTAACAGGCATATAAACACCACAGAGAGCAAAGAGACGTCTCAATCTCTGGCTTCACCAGCTTCAGAATCGAGTGTATGGCAGCCTGCAGGACCGTCAGCAATCCGTATAACAACGGCAGGACTTCCATCGAGAGAGAGCGAGAGAGAGAGAGAGAGAGACAGAGCTTCAGAACTCACCATTTGCCGTTCATCGTGAGCACCGCCCAGGCATTGCCCTGCTCGTCGACCTCCTTGTCCACCTTGGTCGAGAAGGCGATGGCGCTCATGATGCCGTCTCCGAACTTCTCGTTCATCACGGCCTTGTATGCCTGGCCGTAGTTCTGGAAGATCTCGTACAGGCGGTAGATGAGAGGGTCCCGGGGCGGCATCTCAACCCCCTTCCCACGGTCAGGAAACCCTCGCAGACGCATCTTCAGGTCGGCCGGCGGGATCCCAAGCAGCGTGCAGAGCTTGTCGATGTCCTCGGGAGACGCCCTGGCATGTCCGTAGAAGAGAGCAGCCACTGCTACCTCGCTGCGGCCGAGGTGGTTTGCGATCTGCTCGAAGGAGAGCTGCTTGCTGGCCTTGCCCTGGAAGAGCAGGGAGCAGTATTCCGGGTAGTTGGCATGCTCGCTCGCCTAGATGACTCTGGTTATTCTCGTGTCCAGTCATATATATATAGATATATTATACGGGCTGTAGGGATACGCACGTCGAGAGTTACGAGATCCATCTTGACTAGTTAGTTGGTTGGTTTGCTTTACTTCTGGAGTTATCTACCAAATATCGAGTATCGGATATCAAATATATCATGCATCACCGAGAAGAAACAGGATGAAGCTGCGGGGGAAGCAAGGTATGTAACCCTCTCTCTCTCTCTCTCCACATTATTAGTTAAGAGCCGCTGGAGCGAGGTACATAGTTACGTCTGACAAGAGCCTGAGAGTGACGGACGGCCATGTACATACGAGATGTATATACGGGGGGTAGCTGTATCACCAGCCGCGAATACGAGACAGCTCTACAAAGCTCTACAAGTATATAAGCGACCAGAACCGTCTCAAGCGTCTCGAGTTCAAGGAAACACTCTGTTTTCCATCGAGACACTAAGACACTCCTACTCCTCCTACTACAACTACAACTACTACTGCAGTATAGATGTCGACCGAGGCCAGGTATCCGCTGGAGGGAGGATGTGACTGCGAGGGAGTGCGGTACCAGGTGAAGACGGCTCCCCTGGTAGTCCACTGCTGCCACTGCACCTGTACGCACCCTAGATATCACCTCTCTTGCGTCCCTTATACCGGATAACCCCTTCTAACGGCTCGCAGGGTGCCAGCGTGAAACCGGTTCAGCATTCGCCATCAACGCCATGATCGAGTCCGACCGCCTCATCCTGCTCAAGGGAGAAACCGAGATCGAGATCGTCAGCACGCCGTCAGCGAGCGGGAAGGGCCAGGAGATCGTCCGTTGCAGCAGCTGTCGAGTCGCTCTCTGGAGTCACTATCCCAGCGCCGGCCGGCTGATCTCCTTCATTCGAGTCGGAACGCTGGACGAGCCAAGCTCGCTGCCGCCGGACATCCATATCTTCACCTCCACGAAGCTGAAATGGGTCGTCTTTCCGCCGGACGTCCCTGTGGTAGAGACCTACTATGAGCGGGAGGAGATCTGGCGCAAGGGGAGCCTGGTGAGGAGGGAGGCGCTGCAGCCGGCGGTCGAGCGGTACCAGGAGGGGCTTGCAAAGCGCGGTCTCTCGCAGTCGTAGACGTGTCCATAGACCCCCGTAGCTGTCTCGTCAATCCAGAAGCCTTCTTCAGCCGTGCTGTCCCGTTCGTTATCGTTTAAAATGTCGATGTTGCTGTCGATGTTGCTGTGAATCCCGCGGGTTGACGCTGCTAACTAGTTAAGTTAGGTAGTGGCGCCGTCCCCGCTGGAGGGAAAAGCTCAGCCACGATTCTCCCCCGCGAACGAGCATCACAAGCTGAGACTCGCTCGCGGGCTGAAGACAACGCAAGAAGCACATAAATACACCGGCCGGCCGCTTATTCCTTGCTGTCTCTCCCTCTGCTTGATGAAGATTCGATATACCGACGCGGACACACCCGTTGATAGCGTGAGAAGGTTGCTCCCGCTCGTCTCTCGCATCGCCATCTCCAGCTCGCTGCCCCGCGCTGCACCGCCATAGACAGACAGCTCTGCCCGGCTAGAGGATAGCTACAGGGAACAAGCAAGCAAGCAATGGCTGGAAACGATGACCATCTAGCATACGGGCATGCCCCGGGACAGTCGGATCGTGGTTCTGGGTCTGGGAGTACCAGGGCGTTTCTCGGGGACACTCTACGGACGTTCCGTGACAAGTACGACAAGTACTCGCATGGCCAGCAAGGCCAGCAAGGCCAGCACCAGCAGCAGCAACAACAACAACAACAACAATATCCAGTGAGTAGAGCATCATATTTACAATTTTAGTTGTCGGGTCTCGTTTGTTGCTATCCTATATTCTTCAGCCGTGGTTAACAGACTTTAGGGTCAGCCCGGGAACCATGGTTACAACCCTCAGGGCCAGGCACAGTACCAGCAGCCGTACCAACAGCCGCCACCCGGCCAGCAAGGAGGTCAATACGCACCAGATCCAACCCACGGACAGAACCCTCAATACTACCAGAGTGCCAGCGGAGGTCATGGCAGTGGCGGCAAGCCTCCAAAGTCTGACCTAGTCTCCGGCATATTCGGCAAGCTACAGGGTATCGGCTCAGAGGTCGCACAGCGGATCGGATCCAACCTCGACCCTCATGCGTACGCTACATACGGTGCAGATACAGCTGGTGCCAACTCAAAGAACAGATACGGGAGCTTTGCACCCGTCCGGCACCATGGAGATGCAAAGTGGTATGTCGACGGATGTAGCTATATGTGGGCTGTGTCTAGAGCACTGGAAACAGCAAGGGAGTCCATCTGGATTCTTGACTGTAGGGCCTCTCTTCCATCCTTCAATTGCCGGTGTTTTATCTAACCAACGGGTGTTCTAGGGTGGTTGTCTCCAGAGCTATATCTCAGACGGCCTCCGGCTCAGAATGAACAGTATCGTATCGATAGAATGCTGCAGGCAGCCGCCCAAAGAGGGGTTCGCGTCAACATCATCGTTTACAAGGAGGTAACCCAGGCACTGTCATGTAAGTCAACCGCTTTTAGTACTATTTTTCTGGATAAAGTCAGAGGCTAACATAGATCATAAGTGTCCTCGTCTCATACTAAACATCACCTTGAGGATCTGCACGAGAACATTGTTGTATTCCGTCACCCCGACCATTTGCCAGACAAGCAGACTGTGCACTCGGATGTGATGTCTTCCTTCCAGAATCTGACATTAAACGCTGCAGGTCTCTCAAAGCTGTCTGGTGATGCACTTAAAACGGTTTACGGCCTTAGCGGCGGCGTTGTCCTCTTCTGGGCACATCATGAGAAGCTATGTATCGTCGACGGCAGGACTGCATTCATGGGTGGTCTTGACCTCTGTTTCGGACGCTGGGACACTTATCAGCATGCTATTGCTGACGTGCATCCAACTGATCTGAAGCAGGCTGTTTACCCCGGCCAGGATTACAATAATGCTCGAGTCTTGGATTTCCAAGACGTCGTTCACTGGGAGAACAACCAGCTGGACCGAAAGTCAAACTCCCGTATGGGATGGAGCAATGTTGCTGTTAGCTTGCACGGTCCTGCCGTAGAGGATCTGAGGAAGCACTTTGTGGACCGCTGGAACTTCATCTATGATGAGAAATATGCGGTCCGTAAAGTCCCACGTGTCTCTAGACTTGAGCTCTACCGTCAGCCGATGGGCCTAGGAGGACATCGCCCCTCGTCACAACACGGCCCAGGGCCTGCTCCACCACCTGCTGGATCTCAGGGATACCAGCAACAGCAACAGCAACAACAACAACAACAGCAGCAGCAGCAGCAACCTCAAGGGTCCCAATCGCCTTACTATCCCCCACCTCCTCCAGGACCTCCACCAGCTGCGTCTTCAACGACCGGCGGTGGCTACCAGCCGCACTCATCTGAGGCACCTTACTTCCCACCTCCACCAACTCAAGGCAATAACCCTCCCACTCAAAGCCGTGGTGTTGATGAATATAGCGAGGGAGATAGAAGCAGCCGTGGAATTGGGATCAAGGGTGAATTTGCCAACTTTGGTAACACCCTGCGAGCCCAGTTGGCTGGCCAAGTCCACCGTTATCAGGACCGATACCTCTCTGGTAATGCTCCAGGGCAAGGCCAAGGACCCTCTAAGTCAAACGTCTCCTGTCAGATAGTCCGAAGCAGCGCTAAATGGAGTAACGGCACTGAGACGGAGCATTCAATTGTAGATGCATACGCGGCCATCATCCGTGATAGTGAGCACTTTATTTATATTGAGAACCAGTTCTTCATCACTGCTACATGTGATGCCCAGAAGCCAGTAAAGAACAAGATTGGTGCTGCCATCGTCGAACGCATCCTCCGCGCTGCAAAGGCAGGCCAGAAATACAAGATGATCGTCATCATTCCTGCCGTGCCTGGATTCCCTGGTGACCTCCGCGAGGATGGTAGCTTAGGCACTCGCGCCATCATGGAGTTCCAGTACTTCTCCATCAACCGGGGAGGAAACAGTATAATGGAACTGATTGCCAAAGAAGGGTATAACCCCATGGAGTATATTCGTTTCTACAACTTGCGCAATTACGACCGTATAAACGCCAGTGCCATAATGCGTCAAGCTGAGAAAGCAAGTGGAGTGAATTATGAAGATGCAAGAAAGCAACATGATGCTGCCATGTCAGCATCAAGACCTTCTGCTTTCGACACCACGGCTGCGTACCCACAGTATCAGCAGGCTGCTCAGCATGTAGCTGCAACTAACCCGCAGGCTGCCGCAGTTGGTCGATGGGATACCGTAAGTTCTTGCTACATGCTTGGAGGAGAAGACATTCGCAATGTTCCGTGGGAGCATGATAACGATACTTCTGAGATTGACGCCTTCGTCACGGAGGAGTTGTATGTTCACTCAAAGGTATTTTATCCTCGACTTCTTTTTTACCCCAGTTCAGTTCGGGAGTGATTCCGTCTAACAATTTTTACTAGCTTCTCATTGCCGATGACAGAACGGTCATCTGTGGAAGTGCGAACTTGAACGACCGTTCTCAGCTTGGTGATCATGACTCTGAGATCGCAGTCATCATCCAAGATCCAACCGCAATGGAGTCAAGGATGAATGGGCAGAACTATGTCGTCAGCCAGTTTGCGGCCACTCTCAGACGACAGCTCTGCCGAAAGCACCTTGGGTTGCTCCGACCTCAGGACTATCAGCGTCCTGAGGCCAATTATGAACCTGTTGGGGTTCCTAATGAGTATGACTTTGGTTCACCTGAAGACAATATCGTGGTAGACCCAGTCGCAGACACCTTCCATAGTCTCTGGAACACCCGTGCCAGACAGAACACTGAGGTCTACCGAAAGGTCTTCCACGTTGTGCCAGATGACACTGTTCGTAACTGGAACGACTACAAGGAGTTCTATGAGTACAACTTCCGCAAGCCTGATGGAAAAAACGGAAACCAAGAACCTCGCTACCTCCCCGGCCATGTGATCCGTGATGAGTTTCCTGAAGGTGTGAAGGCCGTCAAGGAAGAGCTGGCTAAGGTCAAGGGAACCATTGTTGAAATGCCGCTAATGTTCTTAGCGGAAGAAGACATCGCAAAGGAGGGATTGAACCTGAACTCCTTCACCGAGACCCTCTACACCTGATGATCCACCTTGCAGTCCATGGTGGCGCCCTGCGAGAATCAATCCAGAGCGGTCTTTGTCCCCTTATTTTATTTTATTTTTTGAGATATGATAACGCTTTCTTTTGACCCGGCTGATGTGTATCACTTGTTTGTATTTGGCATGACTCTTTTGCCGTTGGATATATGTTTCGATAATGATTGGAATACAAGAGCTCTTTCCCAGGTATCTAGGCAAGAAATCCCAAGAGTCGAGAACATCCGTCGATGTCACTTCGTGTCCTGACTCGGTGACTTTCGTCTCTTCTTTGTGTTGTTCCGCTCAAAGAAGTTGGAGTCGCTTTTTTTGCTTCTTTTCTCTTGCTGCTGCTTGATATTGTTCTCTGCAGCACAATATCAAGGATGGAGTTGGACGTTGGATTTCCTGTCTTCCTATTGGTTGCTGACTCAGCATGAACACCACGCTAGGCCTATTGCGGACTAGCCTCTGACACTTCTGATATTGTTCTAAACAACAAAAATTGTAACTTCAAGATGTTTTTTTTTGCTGTTTCTTCCGTGTTTTGCGCTGTTTGATGCTGAAAAAAAGGGTGAGTGGCTAGTTCACTTTACACTTGTGGTGCCAGCCGGGTTCATTATCCAAATCCGGATCCCTATCTTTGGTATTCACTCTGAAGAACACCGGTTCGTATACCCTCGGCGGGAGTTTCATCCACACGGTCCCCATGGATTCCAAGGACCCAATACCCGTGCTGAACATGTAGCTCTTGGATGTTTTAGACTTATCAGATACCCAGAACTAGACGCTTCGATGGCCACAGAGTTATCTGTGCCATATCCATATCCTATACGAAGAAGAGGCTTGAGATCCTCGGGCTGTCTGAGGCGTGTTTGCGTATGTGGGCTTTGTATCTCAGTGAGAGAGCGATATCTGCCTATAACAAAGATAGGTCCATCCTATTTGGCTTACTGCTGGCTCAACGCCACCGCCTTAGTGCCTCCTGACCTTCTGTCCCCTTCGAACCATCGAAAGGAATGGGAAATTGTGTTGAGCAAGGGAAGGAGCATTTTCCTTGACTTAAACCTCGTATCCAAAGTCGAAATATCTCACCTAAACCCTAGAATAGATTCGGGTCCCTGGATTACTTGGCAGTTTCTTCCCTTTTCACAGATTTCTGGGTAGTTCATTTCTGCTAGTTACTACTCCTTGGAGCCACAAAACGTCGTAACGGGCACACTTTCTCGTTACACGGCGCGCTTGGTTACCCAGAACTCTTCCTCATCTAGATGCTCTCCGATAATCACTTGGCCGCATAAAGTGATTACCTACAGCAAAACGGTCAGGCCGATTACTCCCTTTGGGCGCCATTACTGCGTCTAAATGTACCTCAAGCTAAACCATAATAGACTTTGGAAGGAGGTCACTGAATATACCTTGTTCTTTTAGTGAACACACTATCATGAATTAGCATGAATTCAGCTTACACCATAACCCCAAATTGTCCTTAAAAACAACACAATACAAAGTCAAAACAGACAATGTTTTCACCAAATACGCCATTAAGATGGCAAATATCAATACTAACCGCCTATCTATTGTCTCCCCAGCCGTCTACCCGCAACACAATTCCTCATTAACTATGCCTAGGATCTTGCCTCGTTCCGTTTTTGGTATGATAAAACGACATCTCGAGCTCTCAGCGTGGTCTTTCCACTTTTTACAAGCTATCTTGAGCCAGTCTTATCAGTCGCTCTCTAGCTTCATACTTTCCACGGAACTGCTTCCCGTCCGTGCATTGCATGCCATATGATGGAGAATAAAGAACTTATGCAAAATACCAGGACTCTCCGCAACGCCGCCGTCCATGTTGAGAGATTAATCACAATGCTCCGGGCGCCATTCCCTTTGTCGAAGAAAGAAAAACGAGCGATATTCAGATGTAGACGCTTGGGGCGGCAAGTTCTGTCTGTTGAACAATGTCTTGACTCGGTATCAATCGAAAACGATAACTCAACGTGCAGCAGAGAAAGCAGGAGGTCGAGTCTATATAAATCTCTTCCTTGCGCCGTTCCTTTGAGCTCCCTGTTTCATCATCAACAAGACAATCAAGCAATCTACAACCAACTTCTATCTATCAACTTCCACTTTTCAAGCTTCCAGCAAGCCAACCCTTCCACAATCAAAATGGAGTCCTACGTCGCCCCAACTCAGACCTCCGGTAAGGATGATCTTGAATTCTCAGAAGACTTATATGTACGGATCCGTGGCTAACACCATAGTTATAGGTCCCGTCAACGCCCGTGGCAGCACTGGCCAGTGCATCGTTATGTAGACATTTGTCTAGACACTCTTGGCTATGGTGAAGGAATGATGGTAGCCAAAGGGGTGGTAATGCGGAGGGTGACGATGATGGAATTGCATCTACTTCGATATTTCGACACAGCCAAAGCTACGAGAAAGCCTACCTTCAACATCCGATCTATCTCATCCGGCAATGTTCTCCCTCCCAGATTTGATACGAAGCCAACGACATTTTGGATGCTGCCAGGTCTGACAAAGCTTTACCCGACAACAAGACGCATCTTACATCTCATCCGTCGTTTACGGCCCCTTTCGACCCATTGTTTCTTCACCTAGCACCACCACCCTTCTCGTTTATTGTTCATGTATAATTGTCCATGCCACCCTTTTTCATCAGCCTTTCACCAAGAGCATTTTGCTGGCATGATTTCCCTCTAGCAATGCTCATGGGTAACAATTCCAAGAGGTTGTTTGAATCAGAGCGCCATCAGATAAGAAAATCCAAAAAAAAAAAAGGGGGGGGAGGAAAGAGGAGATACCATCACTCATTCTTTTTCGGTTCCCTCGGTGTCCGGTTGACTTCGTGTTTATTGATTTTTACGGCAGGGTCGTTTCATCTTGATCCAGCCATGCTTGGATATATAATTATGGCTCAATCTATGTACACAAACATTTCCTTTCTCCTGCCTTCTCCCCTTTCCCTCTACCTGCCAACGATTTGAGAGCGCATTTTCAATGTAAGGGGAAAGGAAGAAGGGCTTTTGTGTATATTTAACTTATATATTCACATATATACCTGTTTACGATGGAACTCTGCCCCTTTAAGTAGTCATGACACCTGGCCTCCTCTATCATTGTAAACAAGGGACGTGCAACAACTAATGCACCAAGACTGAAAGGAGGAATCCATGCCTACGTAAGAATATTGCTGTAGTGCTAAGAAGAATCCAGGAGTCATACCATGTAGTACGAGTCTTTATCCAATCTAACAGAATGCATACCCCCTCTGCTTCTGGATCAGCCAGCTCATATATTAGGACCAAGAAGGCATCTCTGTTTTCAGACGCTTCCACGCATGCCGACATCATCGTTATTGAGGAAAGGGCAGAGCGCTAGACTTCGTAGTTGTAAGTAGGCGCAAGTCGTATGCAAGGGAATCGGCTTCCCCTTCCCCCCTTTTATGCACTGTCTATCAAAACCAACAGATTGGGCCCATAATGTTCAAAAAAAACATGCAGCGGCCTGGATTATTGTCAAGACGGGCGTTTCTGCATACAAAGCCACTCGTTTATATCTATTTCTACCCTTACAAATTGTGGTATACTCCTTCCAGCTGCTTTGAATATGCCCCCAGAGCGGCCTAAATTGTTCAAAAAGAAGAGCAAGGCACGGCGACCAGTACAACCATACACTCGGCCTCCGGTGATGTTTTACTCCTCGAGACTCCCTCCGCGGCCTGTTACGCATCAACCCAGGGCCTCAAACGAAATCCCGGTAGTTGAAACCCATCAGCACAGATGGATAGACCGGATCATTAACCGGATTGGTTGGATGTACTATCACTATGGAATCGCGATACCAGTACACGGAATGCATCTTCTCGAGATTATCACGATCAACAGCACAGTCATCGCAATCCTCGCTTTCATTGTCTGGGTGCTGATTATCTACATCCCGACTCACACATATAAAGTGGTCGCTGCAGCCATTAAGAGTTCGGTATAAATGGATGCAGCAGCAGGTGGCTGTTATTCTAGCCAGTAGTTAGGAGCACGAGCAACAATGTCGACATTCTTTTCTTGCCGCTCTTTTTTGGGTTTTTGTTGCCTTACAGCCAGAGGATGCCTCTGGTTTGGCTTCACTGATGGGATAAGTGGATGAAATTTGGTATATGTTCTACTGTCAGTGGCGTCTGGTCAAGGGTCCTCCTACTGTATATAGAGTGCATATCATTCAACCACGGTCATTCTCTTGATAGAGCAACCTTTAATTTTTTTTTTGATAAACCGATAAGTGCAGCATATTGAGCGCACAATGTCATAGTCAGGGTTTTATAAAAAATAATTAATCTAGCTGGTAAGAAATAACTGATATCAGTAAGCTGACTTTGGCATTTAAGAAGGATAGATTGATTCCACAGCGAGACAAAAGAATGGTTGGCATACTCCTTGGTATTTATGTAGCACGCTCGATATCCGAAATGATCTGTAAAACCACTTCTGCTGCACTCATACCCATCTGCACTGCAGCTTCGCCCATCTCTGCTTCAACATATGAAAGAACGGCAGGACTCGAGAGACCGCTGATGAAGGACTTGAGGGGATCTAGGAATCTTGCATCAAATATTGGTTGAAGAGTGGAGATATGGAGTTGCTCAGCAAGTTTAGATGACTTGCAGAGGAAGTAATAAAAGTTCAACTTTGCAAGATATACCGGTGCAATCTCCTGGGTAAACTCCATCCATACTTCAGGCGTTATACCCTCGGGAGCAGAAGATGTGGTAGACGTCTGTGCTGGACTTGAGAATTTGTATATGGACTGGAATAAGAATGTGAAACTCTCAGGATCAGAGAATGGGTTGTCAGTCTCAGGCTCGGCCGGATTAGCAGAATGTGATATAAGCTCCTCCTTAAGCCACTGTATGGCGGGTAACCTCGCGTATTCTGACTCCTCTTCACTAAGAATCTCTAGCATTATGTTGTATCTCACTTGAATGTCCGGGTATGCATGGAATGCCCGAGCAGGAATGGACCCTAGACGGGTGAACGCCTTGAATTGAGCGGGGCCACGAGAACAAGCTGTCAACCCATAAACAAGGGTCTTAAATCCTTCTTCGTCTTCAGCATCCTCGGGAGTGCTAGTCTTGGCCACAGCGGCAAGGGATAGGATAGAGTCGATCAATGCGACTGGTTCCTCCGCTGCCGCAGTATAAGGGGATGCATAATCTCCAAGGAAGTTAAGCAGAATATTGACAATGTCTGGATATAGATGTAGAGACTGCTCTTGTGTACCAGACCCAAAGAGCGTAGCTGTCACACATCGCGCAGCAAGGAGAAGAATACACCCATGCCTCTCCAGCGGAATCTCGTCAGGAGAATTAGGCAAATTATCAAAATCTAGTGGAGGTGGAAGATCACTTTCTCCTTTAAATATTATTTTTTGCAACATATCTGTCTCTAGGCCAAAGTCTCTCGATAAGGCCTGGCAATGATGTTAGGCGGATGAAACATGGCCAATAATACTGACAACAAGTCGTTACTTACCACTATCTTGCCCAGGGTAGTATCCCTCTCCCGCAGGTACTCGACGTTATGAAATTGGTCGATACATGTGGGGATCCCAACATCCGCACGAGGAGTATCAAGCTTCTCCTGAACACGGATCGCCCACTGCATACCGGCGGGGCCTGGTTCGTCCACGCATTGTAGGAGATATGTTTTTAATGTTTCGATATGGCCAAACTGCAGTAACCTTTGAGTCAACTTTTCTTCAGTAGCCTCATCTGTTGAGTCTCCTTCCGCATGTTCATCTGCCTCAGGATCTGGTGCCTTGTCTCCGGTAGAGCGGCTGAGTGCCTGTTCTGAAATACATCGCGGGGGTAGAGGCGGCCGCTTTTCCCCTGATAAATCTCGTAGGAGCTCCAGGATAGCAGCCGTGGTTTCTGTAGTGGGGAATTCTGAGTAGGCTTTCAAAACAGCGTGAAGAGAAGTTGCAACAAAACGACTTGTATATTTCGTTTTTATTCGTGAGTGCAGCGTAGAAAGCATTGATAAGAGGCAGTTGAACTGTACAATATGGAGGGGTAGATGCCGCTGCTCGCTGGCCTGCTTATTTGCATCCTCATCCTCGCTTTCTAGGGAATCGTCTTCCGTAGCCTGGAGCTTCATCAAAGCCTCTGAAACCCGCAGGATAACCTCCCTTGGGTTTCCAAGCCTCGCAATATCATCGAGACATTCCCGTGAGTGCGGCAGAAGTGGAATGAGTATGTTGACCAGATCCCAGCCGATGTTTATAGTCAGCGTCTCATCTTGAAGGACCTGGTGAAGGACCGGCAACCGAGCAGGGGTCAGCTGGTATTCGACGAGCGTCAGGTAGGTCAAGTAGTCTGTAGCCGGAGGGAGAGCTGCGATCAAGGGATCAGATGCTTCTGTGGGCTGGGCCATGCTGTTCAACTGGTGGGTGGTAGCGCGTGTGCCCCGGTGGTCTAGAGCTTGCGCAACTGTTAACTAGTCAATACCTTGCTAAAGTGGGATAACAAACAAGCTAACTAACTGGTCCTGTTATGGTTCAGATTAACTACCACGTTTCAGCAGCAGTTCAAGGCCTCTAGCAGGCGCCAACAAGACGGCAAGATGAAGTTGTTCATCGCTCTCGTTCAATTGAAAGATCAAGGGGGCCAAAGGGCGCCGCAGCAGGAAAGCCGAGGGGTCACAGTTGGTGATGACGTAACCTCATCCTGCATCTCTGCTGCTCTCACGATGTCTCCTTTGCTCCGTCTATCAAATTAATTTCACATCAGGTTTCAGCTCTAAAAAAGACACAAGGAGACGAAGACTAATGTTGAAATTTGCTTCATGAGGCGGCTGTTCGTAAAAGGCTTTTTGACCTCGATCCAAAAAAAAAAAGAGAGAGAGACGTTTCGCCAGGTTTCAGCTCGTGTCCAAACCATCCCAGACGTCGCGCTTCCCAGCAAAGCCAATTAACTATGGCCGTTTAACTGGTTAAACTTGTTGAATGCTGCTTAATTAGCTACGTATCTCCTCGTATGTTCCGCTGATCTGTGGCTTTTTAACTAGTTCTGTTAACGAGCTAACGACAATGTCCTCAGGCGCTCGGCTGGCTGCATGTAAAACGATAAGAACTCCCGGCGTGCATGAGATAACTATGACCTTGCAATCCTCATCTGGAGAATAACCTAGTCGAGTTTACTCCGTACGGATGGATAGGTGGCCTTCTGTATGATACGAAATTTCGCTCTTCCTCCAGAATTGATTCCGCTACTGTTTAACACGCACGAGCATTGGATACACAACGTCAACGCGAGCTGAACCTGGACAGAGTCTCGGCTAGCCGCATGGCTGGGCTGCAGCTGAATTATCGTTCCAAAATGGTGAGCGGAGTTAATCTCCTGGAGGTGTGCAGATATACGAGGCAACCTGCTTATACCCAGACGCGGGATGTCAAACAATAGAGTGCCTATAATACTCATAATATGACTGGTCTACCTCTTCTCATTCCCGATACAGCCATATACTGTGAGGTATGTGTGCAGCACGCAGCAATGCAGATGCAGGATGGACAGGCCACGAGTATGTCAAGAGTGAGATCAGAGCAAGATCAGCAGCTACATGCTGCAGCACTCTCCTATTGATGCACGGATGCAAGGCTGGTGACGACAGCAGTACGGAGTACAACCCCAACGCACGATTTCCATGAACAATTCCCATCCACACCAGGTGAAGCAGCAGATTTTTGCCAACGGAAACTTTGCCTGTACATGGTAGCATTGTGGCTCCTGCGGTACCCCTGCTGTCTCTTCCCGCAAGCAGCATTACAATCTGTACCAGTATAAACCTCGCATGGGTTTCTCATCGTTTCGAGGCCAATATAATATCAGCAAAGGTAGGGACTTTCTGGTGTCCCCCCCCCCTTTTATCCCTCATTTTTGTGAGCTTGTATACCGTTGTATATGAATGTTCGGCAAATGTATAATGCAACAGAGCTTTTAATAGTGAATAACCGGCCCTTTTTATCCTCTATAGCCGAGTAGGTTCACTTCCCTGCACGATGCGGACTATAGATGCATATATGCCCCCTTCCTGCCATCATCGTTGCTGCGGGGCGTCGGTCGTGTAAATGTATGCATATCAGAACAACTTATCAGTAGCTCAGGACAGTGAAACAGCGATTATAAATCAAGCTGCGGGGATTAAAGACAAGGTACCTGTGTATACGAAGGGGAGGGAAAGGGTATATAAATCTCATAAACACGACCAACGCGGGGCTTGCAGCTTGAGGAAGACCACCATATCGATTCTCACCAACCGTCAGGAAAACTACTATCTTATACTCATTCGTACTCAAGGAAGCCGGCAACATGGCAGCAAGGAGACCAGCTCCAGGAGAAACGCTAGTGCACTTCTTTGACATCAACAGCGAGGCCCCAGGTAAATCACGATCATGGTCTCCCAACACCCTCCCCATCCGCGCGGTATTGAACTACAAGATGGCCCCTTACACCCAAACATACGTCGCCATGCCGGACATCGAGCCCCTGCTCAAGTCTCTCCATGTCCCTCCGCTGGAAGGTGGCAGAGTGCCTTATACGCTGCCGGCAATCCTGCACAAACCGTCCATCAATAACGAGGGTGCGACGCTCAACGACAGCTTTGCCCTTGCCGTTCACCTTGAGACCATCTTCCCCCCGGAGGCAGGGTACAAGTCTATCTTCCCCAACGGACAATGCAGCTATGCCCTGGCTGTTGCTATCCTGAAGGTGTTCCGTAGCATTTACCCGCCCGTGCTGCCCTTTTGTTACCCGGCTGTGCCAAAGTATCTGGATGAAAGAAGCCGTGAGTATTTCTACGCTTCTCGGAAACAGATGCTTGGAATGACGATGGATGAGTTCGAGGCGAAGGGTGAGGCGCTGGAAGAAGCGTGGAAAGCAACCGAGGCCGAGATTGCGGTTTTGGTGAAGATGTTGAAGGGACGTCCCGGCCCCAGGAAGCACCGTGGACCGTTCCTTGAGGGAGAACATCCCGGATATGCTGACATGGTCTTGTTGGGGTTCATGGGCTGGTTTCAGAAGAACTCACAGGCCGACTTGGACAGACTTCTGAAAATGGGAGACGGCGAGCTGCAGAAGGTCTGGGATGCAGGGCACCAATGGCTTGAAGCTGAGGGAGAGAACGTGGAATATGAGATTCCGAAATAATCTCCTTAAGTTGACTTTATTTTCCGTACATGTCTATGTATCGGAATATATATATATATATAAAAGACAATATAATCAAGTATTTATAGCAAAGTGGTGATAAAAAATCGACAAGGAATTTGCATATCCGCATCTCAGGATATAATTGCAACATTCAGTCATTAAATGGAAAAAAAGAAATAATAAAAGAGAAGAAGAAGAGAAAAAAAAAAAAAATGAAAGGTAGCCCCAAAACGCCGAAATCATCTATGCTGATGCCGACCTTTTGGGTACACGGCCTAGGAGAAACGCAGTGGAACTTTACAAGGGATGTGGAAACTATACAGGTGAGTTTAACGAGCTGTAAATTATGAGACGTGACCAAGGAAGGGGTATATAGAGCCATCAAGGCGATAGTGTCGGGCATTTCATCATAGCAAACCAAACGAGGAAGCAGTGCATTAAGAAAGGCCAGCCATCAAGGGTGAATAGCGTCTAAAACGGGATATTCCGAGTGTTCTTTGTGATTGGCGTTGTAGTAAAGTCACCAATCTCACACCAATTGCTAATAGGCTGTACATTAAAAAATAGTATCATTAGCATCTCCGTCAAGAGAAAGAAATGGTTGAGGCAATGGAACATACCAAGCATGACAAGTACTTGCACCATGAGCATGTGGTGCGGTACTTGTAAAAGTTGTTGAGAAGGACAATAAAAGAGACGATGATCCCAATCAGGGCACCAGCTCTGAGCAGCCACCATCCCCACCACAGTGGTTTACGACCCTGGAAAAAGGTGACTGGTTGCTTGAAAAACTTCTTCTGATCTTCATCGACTCCGAGGTTACCACCCATGGAGACGTAAGGAGTCTTGACTCCAATGCGTTCTCGCAAGGTGTCTGGTGATCGAAGGATGCAGATTCCTAGTACTAACCCGGTAAGGAAACCGCCAATATGGGAGAAGTTATCCAAGCCAGGGAGCAGCCCCAGAACAAATGAGATTGCTACCGTGATTACCATGAACGTCAGGTCGACCCATGGTCTCTGCTTCTTGCCCCAGGTGTAGAAGAGGTCAAGAACACAGAGGGCGAAGATGCCAAAGAGGCAGCCGGATGCTCCCGTAGAAGCAATGGCGGGAGCTGCAAAATTTCCACCCAGAACGAAACCGAATATCCCGCTGGAGAAATAGACAATCGCGTATCTCCACCAACCGATAGTCCTCTCCATATCGGCGCCGATGCTCAGCTGTGCAAAGAGGTTGAAACCAATATGCACAAGACCAGCATGTAGGAACATGGGTACAATGAAACGGAACCACTGGTTTGGTTCAGGTTTATCATCGAGGCTTCCGTTTGGTTTTGGATTAGGCACTCCGTCAAATCCGCAGAGCTCGGAGAGAGTACATTTGGCATCCGTGGTGGTCGCGTTTGGGCATGGGAAGAAGACGGTATTTGGGTTGTTTTGGAGTTTATCCACATTACGCATGCAAGGAACGAATCTGGCTCCTAGGTTTATCTGGACATAGGGCGATGGGCCGATCATGGGGTTGAAGGAGGGTTTTGTCATGATGGGAGATCCTGTTAACTGGGCTGAATGGAGTGTTAGCAGAGTCAGATTGACAAAAACCAGTAGAGGGTATATATATATAAAATGAGACATACCATTTTTAACAATTTCGACTATGAATATGATGATCTGCACCAGAGATGTTATATGGGTAACCCAAGGGATCTTCTTTGCAAAGTAACCATGCTTCCTCCTTCGAGACGGCCGTCTGACGGGATCACTGAGGTTCAAAGGTTCGGTCGGCAGGTCGTGAGGAGAAGGATGGTATCTCGTATCGTCCGCCCACTCAGGCTTGTTGTTAGCTGCGTTTGACTTGAGCGGAATGTCTTCTGAGTAGTAGTCATTGTTATGGCCCATCCGGCTCTCCCCCAGGTCGTTGTCTGAATTGGAGTGGTAGTGGCCGTATCTGCCGCCGTTGTCGTAGCTGTGAGAGTATCCTCCAGCCACTAGGGTCGGAGACGAGGGCTGCTGGTGGCCCCATGAGTCACCGTGAGTGTCGTTATCGTGAGGCAGAGCTGGATGAGGCTTCTGCGAGTAGCTGTTGTTGTAGTATTCGTTGGCAGCCATGGTTGCCGCCGTCTATGAACGCAGGTAAACAGAGCACGCTGCAGAGAAACGAGGACGCCGAACAGCTGAACGAGGGACGAACAAGGGCAAAAGAATGAATCCGCAGGAGGGAGACCAAGCAGACGAAGAAGAAGAAGAAGAAGAAGAAGACGACGACGACGAAGCGAAGATGGTGGCTGGTCGAGTTGACGCAGACGTTGCGTAAACACTTTTTCTTGTCAAAAGCGCCAAAGCGGATTTTGACGATGGATCTTGATCTTCCCTCTTCGGGCTTAGCGTCGCCTGACCTTCCCCAAAATTGCGGCTGTGCTTTTGCAAGGGAGAAGCTCGACGGGGCTGGGATGGGGACGGGACAGAGGGTTGCTTTTTATAGCCCCAGCGCCGTGAGACAGGCTTGGTGGCTCCGTGGCTTTGGTGGCTTGGATGCGCTGGTTTGTTGTTGCTGTTGTTGCTGTTGATGTGGTGGTGGTGGTGGTGGTGGTGATGACGGGAGAGGAGCTGGCTGCTCAGGGACTGCGTCTGGCGTGTTTCAGGGCTTGTCCACAGCAGGACAGCGAGCTGATCCCCCTTTGTTAGCCCATCGCTACGGTCAGGCTCTGTCCAACAGGAGACGGAGCATTCCTGACTGTCAGCGCCACAAAAGACGGGCCCGTCAGCGCGAAATCGCGGCTGGGTTACACTATTTTCGGCCTAAAGCTTGTTCTGACCAGCATTGATTGCTGCCTCCGCCTATATCAGAGCCGTTAAGGGGGTATAAAAGGCAACCATAGGAACGATAATGCGGAAGATGCCTCATGATGCATAGTCAGGCAACCTAACCTGCTTCAAGCAGGTCGTTGATACCCGTCTTCATTGCCTTACGGACTACGGAGTAATATATTTACTGAACTAGCTAACTGCTCCCTGAGCGCCTTTTGGCTTGCTCGTTAACAGCTAACTAACTAGTTAGCCGAGTGAACGGTTGGCCAAGCCCGTAAACGCCAACCTCATGGCAGTTAACCTGGCCTGGTTTGTTAGCGGCTCCGCGTCCCCGGCCAGAACCAGTGGAATGAGAAGCCCTGCGCTGATGTGTCTGGCATCTGGCTATGGTAATGCATCTTTTCCGGAATTCAGAGCATGATTTCTTTCTAAATACTAGCTGAGACACTGTACATAACCGCCGAGATGGTGATGTGTGGTTGTTCTTGGTAACTAGCAAGTGGGGGTGTGCACAGCCATAATGATGAAGAATCAATACCCAATATCCTTAACACCGGGGTCATAAACTATTGTACTATCTCGCTATCCTCCGTTGCCAACCAGATATACCCTTGTATCCTTCAAATACTGTCATGTCCCTATGTTTTGCTAGTTTGCGTTGAGATAAAGTGATTATCTAATAATGCCCGATACTCTAATTCAGCCTCGATCTACCACCTTGACCTTTTGATATAACCAATATCTTCATGCATCTATATTCTATTTGACATGGCTGCTCCATTACATCTCTACCTAGCAGCTGCTCCATCCTCGTTGTCATAGCATGGCTGGTACGGGTGTTCAGCGGGGATCTTGCTGCAGGAGAAACTCGCGCTGCAAGCCTCCCTCTTTCCTGTCGTCGAGACCTCAATGGCATCTCAATGTAAACAAAAACAATAAACAAACAAATATCCCCGTGGCACGGAAGCAACAATGCTACTGTTGATAACGATGATTGAAGCATCACGTCATGCTGTCCTGCTGCCCGGCTGTCCTGCTGCTCAGCATCCTCGAGTTTTGGGCCCGCCGTCATGTCCTCCTCATTATAGCCTATGACTGTGACGGCATCATGTCCTGCTCTGCATTCCTTTGTTCAAACAGATCAATCAGATCACGCCAGTCACCTCAGATCACGCTCGACCTCGCCACCCAGCCTCTCGTCTATAAAAGGCCCTTCCTTTCCCTCTTCCCTCCAAATTTTTCTTCTTCTCTTTTTCCCTCCGTTTTCCTCTCCCAACTTCTTCTTCTTCACCTTCTTCCACTCTGCACTCTCCCCTTTCTCTCTCTCTCTTTCTCTCTCTTCACACAAACAAGGATGGGTCTATGGTCTCTGATATGCACCCAACGGTGCATATCCCGAGTTCCTGTCAGTGGATGGGTTGTTACGGCTGTCTTGGAGGTAGACAGTATCACAACGCCGGATCTGACACGTCTTGGTTCTCAAGAGCTTCCGATTGTTGGTTCAACACCTGCTTTCGAGATGAGCTTGAGAGGCTGCCTACGACCGCCTGTCTGACAGTCACGAGTAGCCTCCCTCGCACGGCGTACTCAGGCAGGCCACCAGCGACGACCTCGCACTTCTACGCAGTGCTGGTGACTAGTAGTCCCCTTAAGGGATGAAGCTAAGACGAGGTCAATAGATAGATTAGCTAGCCACACACGAGACATAGTCACTCAGTCTCAGTCTCAAGCAGACAAAAACAACAACATAAAAAATAGATAGGTAGATAGAAGTCATGTATTTAGCTATCCACCATCAACCATCAACCTTTTTTTTTTTATTTTTCTCTATTTTCTTGCTGCTCCTCCTTGTATGGGGTATTGATTCTTGCCTGGCGGTGATACTCCTGCCTCTAAAAAGCTGACAACACAGCTCGAATATTGAGCTCCGATCAGATATATCCTCTCTAGAGGTCTTCACTAGTGGTCGTATATGGTCAGTGACAACCATGATCAGCCTCAGCTGCGGTATATCCATAGCTGACAAGGACTTCAGCAAGATAATGAGCGTGGCTGGGAGCCTGTATATTCGCCACCAAAACAACAGCGAGGTGAGAGAACGATGAGTATATCTCCCAAAGATGCCTATAATAGCCATCTAACTGACTGCTCAGTATACTAGGGCTCTGGTATACACAGATACCGAAGTAGCATCGCCCTATTATCTTCTATCCCTCTATCATGGTGGCAACGCCCTCCTCTGAATATCAGAGCGACCACAGGACAAGGACCAGATATACGGGCGATGACACACATCCTGGCACTGTAGCGAAGGGTATCATCGTGGCATTTTATGCTACCTTACTATCTTCCGCCTGGGGAAGCAAAGTCTCGAGTTGGGTATCACTGTCCTCCTCCCACTTACCTGTCAAGTACTGCAGCTAACATCTCTACATTTACACTGTACTTGCAGGATCGATGAGAAGCATATCGAGTCCAGTCCTCTTAAGGAAAAGAAGACCAGATGCCCGAGTTCCACTCCCCGGACGCGTGAGACGAGCTGCAAACCCGCTGCCTCCGTCAACACGTCGATCTAGCAGAACCATCAAGCAAATGGCGGGATATCACCCTCGATGGAGCAAGCTTGGAGAACACAAGAACTCTTCCAGTATATGCAGACGCAAGGAGATGGATTTCTTCCCCTTTCCAGCCACACAAGACCGAGAATTCTTGCCAGGCATTCCCTGTCCAGACCAAGCGCGACTATCAGGCCAATATCAATAGTAACTCCCCCTTGTCTTCGTATTCAACAAAACCCAAGCATCGAAGAACAGGAGCTCGTCGTCTCTATCGAGGTATAGTATGCTAGCTATGTGATTCTCCATAGCCATCAAGTCCCAGTATCCCCATAACTAGTCAGCGTCGTCCGATCCGCCAAGCTGCGTCAGCCGATCCCGAGGCGCAGCACCGTCGTCCATCATAGTTAGTTAGTTAGCGCAAACATCGACAATCTTCATCATCATCATCCATCCATCCATTCATTTATCTGTCTCTATTTCAACACTGGAAGCAGACTATGGAGAAATAGAGAACTGCACGCGTTGCAAGATTCGCCGCAAGGTCGGCGCCTGTTCCTCTGGCCTGTAAATATCCTCCTTTCGATCCGGAAGCGCCCTGTTTTCATTCACTTACGTCCTCAGCCCAGCCCAGCTGGCTCGGTTCCTTCTACCCGCCGATAACTACGTAACCAGCAGTTCCCACAATGAACCGGCCATCTTCTCGAGCAGTCTTTGAATAACTTCAGCGTGCCTCTGCGACCGGTTCGACACCATGGAGGCGTTTGCTTCTGCAGTACCGGAGCCCTTGTCTCCCACAAAGCGCCGAAGAAGCGGACTGGTAAAAACCTGCGAAGGACTTCTCTGCAGCGCCGTCAAATATTTTCCTCTTGTTTTTGTATACGGACTTACGACGTGGGCGGTATGGGTAGAGGCTGGAGTCAGTATATACCACACAAGGAGCTGGTGGAAAGGTACGCCTAGCCCTATCCATATGAAACATTTCTTTGACAGAAGATCTAACAAGGCTACAGGGACATTGGGCAGCGTTTTTGGGATCTCTCTTTACCTTCTGATGAACACATCGTATACGGTTGCGGTCTTTACCGACCCCGGAACGCCCCTAAAAACCTCTACCCACGGCCGATCCAGGCATCAATACAGCCATCTCCCAACCATCGAAGACCCTGAATATAGCTCTGTCACAGTGAACTCCATGGGAGAACTGCGCTACTGCAAGAAATGTCGGTGCCGGAAACCAGATCGGGCACATCACTGCTCAACTTGTGGACGCTGTGTGTTGAAAATGGACCACCACTGCCCGTGGCTGGCCACCTGCGTTGGAATGTACAACTATAAAGCTTTTCTGCTGTTTTTGATATATACGTGCCTTTTTTGTTATGTCTGTTTTGCCGTTTCGGTGCTTTGGGTATGGGATGAGTTGATGAAAGATGCGCAATATATGGAAAGGTTTTTGCCGGTTAATGTGATAATACTGGCTGTTATTTCGGGAATGATGTCTCTGGTGCTAAGCGGCTTTACAGGTTGGCATATTAGTCTCTCGATCCGCGGGTTGACGACTATTGAATGTTTAGAGAAGACGAGATATTTGGCGCCGGTCAGGAAGACGTTGGATCGACAAAGGAGAGAATGGCAGCACCACCAGCCAGACGCTCAAAACATGGGGGCGACCACAAAAGACTTCGGCAGAACCCTTCAGGGCTACGGGCAACAGTTTATTGATATGCATGCTAATGCGATCCCGGGCGTCACTCGCGCTGAAGAAGGCGAAGAACGCTCTTCGCCTACAATAGGAACGAGAATCCCAGACCGAAGACACCAGCACAACGACTACAACCCTGACGAGCACTACGAGCAATACCAAACACCAGCTCAGCAATCTCTCTTTAGATCTTACGGAGAACTCGATAGAGCCCGGGAACATGATAGGTATGAAGAATACCTAGCGGAGTGCGACAGTGAGAAGCTGCCCCATGCATTTGACCTCGGGTGGCGAAGAAACTTGCAACACCTCTTTGGACCAAATCCCTTCCTCTGGCCCATCCCGATATGCACCACCATCGGCGACGGATGGCGCTGGGAACCTAGCAGCAAATGGCAGGAAGCCAAAGCTAGGGTTGAACAACAGCGACACCAGAGGTGGGAAGAAGAACGTCTCCAGCGCCAACAGTTCTGGCAGCGGGCGGCAAAAACAAGTCGGTCCCTGCCAACTACAGCTTTGCATCACTCATGGCATGCCTCTGAACCTCACCCGGGAAACTCATGGACTGGAAGGTTCAACAGTACGGGCAACATGAGAGCGTCACCTTATATGGGAAGCAGTGCCGAAGATCGGCCATCTACCGGTGTTTCCATGAAAACCTTACGACCGATGTCCCCCCGTCCTCGGCCTGGGGAAAGGGAGGAAGACATTGATGAAGCCTCTGATCGTTACAGTACGAGTTCTGACGAGGCTAGCGAACAGCATGCTCTTGTAGCAAATAATACTGCTAAGCAAGCTCTCTCTAACAGTGCTGCAAAAGGGGTGACGGAAGAATGGGTCAACTGGGATTGATTACTCGGATCATTCTCTGCCGTTTGCCCTTTTCCTGTATTCTTACTGCTTTTTTTGACTTTTGCATGTCTATGTTTGGTACGGTGTATTCATTCACGCCGTACTTTAGACCGGGTGCTGGATTTCGTCTCTTTGGAATGCTGGCGTGTTGGGCTTGGAAGCTTGTGTATTGTTTTTAAAAGATCTCAACGGAGTAACTAGTTAAATTTTCTTTTTCGAATATATGAATAATACCAATGTTTGACCCCGTTTGGAACACTGGATAAAGAACAGTTCATTAAACCAATTCGCAAGGTCCTCTGGCTCCCTAAAGTGCCTTTCCAAAGGCGCAGTGTTTCAGTATTCAATATTCAATCCTTCAAAGGTGGATAAGAATTTGGTTGGTCACGTGAGAGTTTCCCTCGGCGATTTGGCAAAGGCCAACATTGAATCATCGATTTGGATGTTGTGATAGCCAGAGGCGACAAATAGCGGCCCGAAGCTACTACGCTGGCGATATCCGAACCAACAAGGTGATCGCGTTAGATAAATGATGCAGACGCCCGGGAAAAACTGCTGTTCGAATAGCATAGGTTGATCGATCCGCGTTTTCCATCGCCATGTCTACTAATAACACGACCCTGCGACGGCTCATGAAAGAGGCCCAAGAGCTCTCTCCGTCATCTTCCTCGCCATGTCCTCACTTCCACGCTCATCCGCTGTCTGACTCGAACCTCTTTGAGTGGCATTTTACCCTTGCAGGGCCTCCTGCCCCGTCACCTTATGCTGGCGGCATATACCATGGCCGCATCCTCCTTCCCCCGCAATATCCTCTACGGCCCCTCTCGTTTCGTTTCCTAACTCCTTCCGGCCGGTTTGAAGTTAACCGCGAGATATGTCTTAGTATAAGCCGACATCATGAGCAAACCTGGCAACCAGCGTGGGGTATCCGGACCGCCTTGACTGCAATCAGAAGCTTTATGGACGGTGAGGCAAAGGGTCAGGTTGGCGGACTAGATGCTAGCAGTGAAGCTAGGAAGGACTGGGCAAACCGGAGTAAAGATTGGGTCTGCCCAAGCTGCCCTGATGGAAAGACAAATGCGGAGATCCTGGCGAAATGGCAAGACATGTGCCGTGAGAAAGGCGTCAATGTTGACAATGAGGGTGCTCCAGGGGAACAGCAAAATAGCGCTGATAGGATACCCGAAGGCCTCAAACTGGGCTATCGCGATGAGCTAGAGAAGGAATCGAAGCCTGATTCTGAACCTACTCTAGCAACGTCCCGACCAGGCGATAGAAACGGAGAAGTGCATCAACCCGTAACATCCGGTCTTAACAACTCTACGTCAATGGTGACTTCAGCGACGGGAAACCCGCCTCCAGCAGAGGCTGCTGGGAACCCAAGTCAGCCCACCCCAAATACTCGACCCCAGGTATCATTGGCATCTCAGCATACTCGCACTCAAATATCGGCCCGGAATACCCCTGACCAAGATGACGGCCCCTGGTTAGACAGAGCTATTATAGGGGTTATATGTGCCTTGGCTTTTGTCATTCTTCGGAAGGTTTTGTTTGCTCCTGCGGACATTTGATTACATCAAAGGTTTCAGCGTTCTTTTTTATGCCCGGAATGGCGGCGACTAGTTAGCGGGGGCCAGCGGGTCTGTACTACAAACTGGAGTTATCATTTAAGAATTTATCTCATGATCTTTCCTACTCCGGATGTTGGTGTTACTAGGTGGTTGGGAATCATTATTACGGTGCCCGGAGTTTTGCTATATATAATATTCTGCCTTGAAATAAAAACATTAATTTCAGCATCCTAAAACAAGCACCTAAAGCAAATTAAAGGAAATGAAGATGTCTCCGGTATGAAAATGATTAAGATATGCTCAATTATCAGGACAAATACATCTAATATACATAGCAACATTTACGTTTGGCCGTTCTCAGATGCCCCAAGTACCATCCACCACCACTCGCCTACAACCCATCCTGTATCGTCGGAATGATTCTCGGTTAAGCTTTGTGTCCTCTCAATAATACCAACGTCAGCAAGCCAGCCTAAAACTAGAAGTGTCTCCCACTCCGCTAGACAAGGCTCCAGCATACGTGTTATGCCTTTAGCTGCAATGGCCGGTCGAGCAACAAGTACACCAAGAACCGCGCTCAAAACAAGCTCCCATACTATCTTCACAAATTGAGAGTGCACATCAAACCACAACGGAACTTTAGGCATCAGTGTCAATGATTCAGAGCTAATCGGAAAGTTACCCAGATCACCTTTTGGTATCGGCGTCTCTTTTAATGCCTGGCTGATGGGATTTCCGTACAGATACCGGCCGTGGGCTGGGTGAACCTCAACGTTAAAACGCAGCTTTTCTTTATCCATCAGCCTTGTCAGGTAGCCTCCCTCAGTTAACCCATATTTGTTCCGAGGAGGGTCCCTTGGTACTAGGACAATGTGGCCTTTTGAAGCTAGGTTGAGGAGGGCAATTATATCACCATCTGTAGCGTCATACTTCACGTAATAACACCCTTCAGAAAGCAGAGCAGGGTCAAGAACCTCTGTTTTGAAAGAAGAGGCCTGCTTCAGTTGTGTTAACTCAACCGGGCGTCTGCGTGTGAGGGTACCAAGGAACTGCTCCGTAAGATCGAAATTGCGTCCAGGGGCTACCCGACCCTTGTTACCCATGGAAATGACGCGCTCGGTCATGAGAGATTGGATAGCCCTTCCCAGGAGATCCTCGCCGAATTGCCTCATTATTTGACCAGCTTCTGCTGGTTTGTAGGTCTCTTCAGGCGTTACGACATTTGCGCGCACCCATGTCTTTGCCACATCCAGTAGCTCAAGCTCCGTTGCCCTCGGTTTGCGTGACCGGCCATCTGAAATATTATTAGAGAGTAGCAGATTTCCTAAGAGAGTCCGTTTCCTGGGTATAGTTGTAGGGGGCGTGTAGTGGTAGATTTCATCAATCTGCTGGCTTGGCTCTGTTCGAAGCTCAAATAGGCTGTCAAACTGTCGTCGAGACGCTGGGAGGTTAGGAAGCCTACCCATACTAGGCTCTTCCATGTTCCTGCACGCCCAATTGACAACCCATTCCCAGTCATAAGTTTCTAGGTTGTCGAAATTGATTGGTGGAACTTCTCCCTTTTCGTAGGCATCTGCAAACTTCTCCTGAAAATCACTTTGCATTTTCGATAGCTGCAGCCTATGTCTCCCTGTTAACAGCCTCCCACGATCATGAATGAACTTGGGTGTATAGTCCGGGAATAGGGGGGTAATCAAGGTCCACTCCACCATTCTTCCTTCTAACCCCCCGGCGAGGGTGCGTACGACAACCATAGCTACCATAAGCCGTTGAGTTACCTTGGCTGGTAAAGAGTTAACACGCCTTGTCTTGTGATTCTTAATTTTATCCGCTTCACCAGCGGCTTTGGCCTCCTGTAGTTGGGTAAGTTTGCGTGTAGTTTCGGTGTGCGTCTCCCCTTTCCTCCATCGTTGCCTCCGGTCAGAGCCAAAATGACGCGCAAGAACAGCTTCAGGAGCCTGGGTTCTCCTGGCTAGCTGCCTTGTCAGTCTTCGTGTGTGCTCTATCTCCGCAATGGCCGCAGCATCGCTTTCAAATTTCATTGCACCTTCCAGGGGCGGACATTCGGGGAGTTCCTCGATAGTATGATTTATGTAGACAAAATCATCGTAGGGCATCTCAAAGATTTCCGGGTACCGGTGCTCCCAGTATTTGATCCTGTCCACATCATAAAAGAACTGGTGGGACACTGGGTCGGAAAACTTTGAGCTATCAAACTTGCGATTGCCTCTTTGTGACAGGATTGTTTCTAAGTTTTCCGGTCGTATCATATTATGTTCACCATGATGTTTAGGGTACACCCTATATTTACCAGGAATATAGGCACCTGTCCCAAACGTCCCCGTGGCCGAGTGATATACTTGCAGTGGACACATGAGCATTGACTCGGGAGTTACCATGTATCTAGTTTTTGAAGATATCGGTAATGCAGGTACGGGGTACCTCGTATGTTGAGATGAACTCCCACTAGGAGACAGTAAACCAAAGGAAGCCAGATAAGAACGCCCTTGCGCCAACCGCTGTATGCTCTCCAACCTTTGAGTTGGAGGGGAGTCGAAAGGAAAAGATAGCTCTCTGATATCAAACTCGAAGAGTTCACCTTCGAAGTTGTGCATTTTCCACCGTCTTCCTGCCTTAGGTGCCCTGCGTGTCATGGCTGGAGGCTGGTGAAGTGTCACGTTAACTTCCCCATCAATATCAGGAAGCTTCACACCGTATCCCAAGAATCCACGGTTTGACTTTCTCAGGTCTGGATCAATTTCAACCTCTAAGGGAAGATAAAGCTGGGGGTCTGCATCAAGCATTTCCTTTTGCATGGCTCTTACTTTTGGATGGTTTCCTGAAATTTCCGGAAAGGACAAAATGCTTTTCGTCACCATGAGGCCTTTAGAATTCCTCCCACTAAATGTGTGCTTCCTAGCTTTTCCAGTTTCAATGAGTGTTCTCATTGCATTTTTTACTGTTCGTGCATCAGGCTTTGTGCTTTGATTTGTTTTCAACCACTGAGTCGTAAAAGGATACCACATTTCACTTCCCATAGGATATACGCCACCTCCTTTTTCGAGAATATCTAGAAGAATCTTTCTTCTGAGTACGCCGATTGAACCGGACCTGATATCTCGCTTAAGAGTTCCTTTGATCTCATCGACTCTAGTAACAGAGGCATCTGGTGTATTCTGGGCATCAGGAAGAGTGATTTCGGTGGTTATACCTGAATTTCTGGCAGATGTGTTCACGGTCTGCGCGGCCTCAGAGACAGGCTCTCCATATAGGTCACATATAGGCTCTTTCTTCAACTCAGCTTCTCTTAAACCTTCTTCAGGGATTGTTTCTCTTGGATGTTCAACTGTTGGTACGCAAGGAGCCGTGGCTTGTTGTGCATCCCTAGGGGAGAGGACAATCAACTCCTGCTCTTGTGTTTCACGCACTGGTGCTTCGGTAAGTTCAATGTCACTGTCGGGGACGGGGTTTGGTAGTTCTGTCGTTTGCCTCAATCTTGACCTATTGTCATCGACCAACAGGCTTCCCTCGGGAGAAGGTGCTGTTGAAGCTTCCACTTCAGTATCAAGTTTCCGTTTTTTTGGCGGTCTTCCCCTCCGGCGTCGAGGAGTTTCCCCTGTTCCAATAGACACTGGCCCGCCAGCGTCTGGAGCTCTTCTTTTCCCTGATACCTGGCGGCTCTTCAGGTTGTTCCATTCAATATCCAATTCATCGTTATTGGCAGGCTGCTGTTCGGTATCCTCTAGGCCCTCTTTATCGACTTCAGAATAAGTCTGCCGTTGAGCAGCAGCCCTGACCGGGCGGCAAGGGCGGGTTTCCACGGACAGGTTCGCAGACCCCGCTTGTAAGTTTGTTTCAATTATCGAAGTTGTTTCTTCATCTCGTGGCTCAGGTGATGCTTGGGGTACAAACCAGTCAAATTCCTTTAATCTCGGTGACTTGAAAACGGCAATACGACTTTTACCTGGACGCCCTCTTTTTTTACCAACAGGCCGACGTTTTCCAAACGGTGTTATATATACACCAGTTGATGGGCGGTCCATAAGTAGAAGGCTGTACTCCGTCCACCCTTCATCTAGGCCTTGCGCTTCAAGGAGTTCCTTTCCAGTCAATCCCTCATATGGATCTGCGACAACTTTCTGCCGTTTAGCCGCACGGGGGGCAACTTCTTCCATGCCATCCTGAGGACCAGGAGCCAATTGGGCGACATCATCAGGCTGAGCACCGTTAGGAACATTGGATCCAAGCAGTTCATGATCGTCTGATTCAAGTACTCCAGCGTCTCGAGCGCGCTCGAGTGCCGATCTCGAAAGGCCACCCTTTCTGAAGAAGTCAACGGCTAAAGTCTCCAGTTAGCTACGTATTAAATATCCAAAAGTGAATGATAACCTACTATATGTGCCATCCAAGAGAGAAACTGCAATAGGGTCATTGAATGTAAGGTTCCATTTCGAAGGCTTAGAAGCCTCCAAACATTCACGAAGCGTTGCATTCCCCTTCCGTAAGAGCGGCTGCGAGATGTCTACTTGGAAGCCATATTTGTCCAAGGTAGCCTTTGCGTTGGCTGGGGGGGCGTTTAACACTCGTTTTCCGGACCTGGGACCTCCAGTTACTGCATCCCAAGAAGCATGACCATTGCTCACCAGGGAGGAAAAATGGTCGAACGAATAATGTATATAATAATATACAGTTTTGTTGAGTGCAGTGTCGCGGAGAATGGCTAGATGTCGAAGATGGAGAGGCTGTGAGCTCTGCCATGAGCTGGTCAATCGAGAGAGAACGGTCTCCAGTGGCTTTCTGAAAAAGGATCCCATTGTTAATTTATTGATGTCCTAAACAATGAATATATTAGTTTCCAAGGACATTTTAAGGGATCAGATAAACTAACATTGTTAGAGATCCCTCTAGTGCCAGCCTGATGGATAGTATCAAAAACCAAATTAGTTATTGTTCTATCCGGTGTCCATTGGGGGACAATCCGACCGATATCAACAACATAATTAGTAGAATCGCCTTCCAGGCTAGGATCAACTACAATTTTTTGGCCTTGCTCCTCGTCCAAGTCTGCGTCCAACTGCTCCAGAGATGACATCAGCCCCTTACTGTCTTCGTGGAACAGTTTGATGTCCTTCTCCGTTGGCTCACGTATCAGCATTACTGAAGGATGCAGTGATTTCATTGCATTTGAATACTGAGATACTGCACGGACTCGTCGAATACAGCCAATGGCCTCAAATTTCCGAATGGCTCTTCTTAATATTTTCCCGTGCCAACGATCTTGCATTCCGAGTTTTTCTTTAAGATCATTCCTGGTAATGACCTTATACTCCCTCAGCATCTCAAAAAGCTTCTCTTGTAAAACTGTGAAGTCTATTATCTTGCTAGTTGTTGATTTTGAGCCAGGTTCCACGACTGATGAAGGATCATAAGAAAGCTGCCCTGGTCCGAGTCCGGCGAATTTATTCAGAGTACACAGACTTGTCCTCGCAGCTTGATATTGTATGGCTCGTTTTTCAATATATCCTTTTTCCTGCAATAAGTCAGTCCTTTTAGGAACTGAACGCTTGTCTTGTCCACTCAGCCGGACAAGGTCGGACTGAATGATGCCCTTTTCTTTTCGAGAAGCGATAATTGATAGCAGAGCAAATTCCAACGGTAAGACCCTGGTGGAATCCGGTTCATGACCAGTGATGGAGAGCCAAGTTCGCTCCAGCGACACAAAAACAAGCATATCTTGTCCCCGGCGACCAGGAGCCGGCCCTAGTGCTGGATCAATAGCCGCCTCTGTGGTGCTATCACCTTGTGAATGCGGTACCACATCGTCCAGTGTAAGAGAGTTACCCTCTCTATCTTTGCCAACTGATACTTCAGGGTGCTCCGTAAGCCACTTCCATACCCTGGACTTGAACCGTCTGTCAAGATTGGGTATACGACGTGTTGCCACACCATTTCGAGCATTATTCTCGCGCCGCAGCGCATAGAATTCATCAATAAACGTAAGTACTTGTGCTGGAGGCACTCCTATCAACTTGGTTAGCTCCCTCATGTATGTTTAATCATAGCCAATGGAAAACTAGTCAAGATGTAGTCTGCCGAGCACCGCGTCTCACCTTGATCACCGCGTAAAGATATTTCCTCCAGCAAGTATTCGATCAGGTCTTTTAAACTCGCAGCCATCGCCCCCTTTACGCCTTTGCATGGCTGCGTAGCTCTTGTTGCGGCTCTTAAGAGTCTTGGGTAGCCCCCGTAGTTATGAAGATTAAAAAATAATTTACGTCTTTTTTTTTCGTGGCAAGCGCGGGTTTCGAACTTCGTGCCACGTATCACATGACATATCCAACTTCTTGCTTATGTCATCATGATTATGTCAAGCCATTACTAAGCTGAGCCTCCAACAACTTTGTCAGCCCTATGACGTCACTAGACACACCCGACACTTTATTTTTACCTTCCAGAACGTCAAGAAAGAACCCGTCTTTGCCGAAGTCTCATGCTCAGCCAGGCTGGTTCGCTATATAAGATATAAGATGTTCGCCACTCATCAATCCCTCTCCAGCGGAACCATGGATATCTCTTATTTATGTCCGACAATATCAAAACTGTGCACAAGTACTTCTAGTTTGGAAACTTGAGCTCTTCCGTCATTGCTTCTGCTTCCGACTGCACGTCCAATCTTCGACGAACGCGCAGGCTATATAACTTCAATAGAGGATGGACAAACCCATGGTTCCAGACGCTCCAGCGGTTCCTGGACCACCAGAACTCCCCTACTCACTCAGGTCTCGAAAACGATCGATTTCTATATTTTGGACACTCTTTATAATTGATACTCTGGTCCAGCCCTTGGTTCTTTACTTTACCTTATGGTACTGTACTAATTTATCACACAACTTGGGTAAGTATATGTGGCCTTTTTTATTAAGCAATTAAATCAGACGCTGATATATATTCTATTATTCCAGTATTCACAATAAGCACCGCTGCTCTCGGAGGAGTTGCCGTCGTTGAATATTTTTATCGGTTTTATAACCTATTTAAAAAGGGATCGAAAGTGAGACCGTTGAACGCAAGGAGGTCATGGGTATGCCCACCAGCTTTGGCAACGTTTTGTACTTTGCTAACAAGCTGGATAGCTCGATTTCTTTCAAGTGAACTTCACGATAGTATGGCTCATCCTGGCAGTGGAACTCATCATGTATGTGCATTCTTGAGGATCTCGTCTGGAGTATTATTGTTAACCCCAGGTACCTATAGAGGAACTGTTCAAGAAGAACCGTACAGTATGTACATCCCTGAATATATTATGGCCTACTGATTCTGACTTTTGCTCCACTAGTTCGTCTCCTGGCGATGCCATTGCCCACCGTTATGTTTTATTTTGGACTCGTTCATCTAACCCTCGACCTCCTCCGTGCCTTAGGTTACCAGGCCCCCTTCCGCATATCGTCAACGCCTAAGGGATACGTAATGCCCACAGCCTTGTACGTATTAATTGAAGACGTTGTTGCGGTGGATGGTGGTGGTGGGCAGTTATACAGAAGGGCAATTCGTGATAGATATCTCTCCAGCCCTTACTTCAGACAGATGCTCTTTGAAATGAATTGCTTTTGGGGTGGCGGGTCAGTCGTCTTTGCAGCGGTCATCACTGCTCTGGTATTCACAACACCTAGAGACGTGGCATATACGGTATGTTTTTGATATCTGGTAGCTTTTTTTTTTTTTTTCATGGCTAATTTTTCCATTAGCTTGGATGGTCTTTACCCTTCGTGTGGGCCGGCACTTGGGTCCTTATAACTATTCCCTGGGTCCAGGCTGATCTTCGCAAGGAGAAGGCTGCCTGGGGGAAATACTCCCTTCATGGGATTCCTTATACCGATGACATCACTTGTCCTACACCCCAGACTCGGTTTATATCCGTTTCTGGCAGGTTGATGTCCTCATTACCATTCCAGAAGCCGGTAAAGCCCGATAGAATTGACGATAGCAACGTCGCATCGGGTTATGATTCCGAAACTGTATAATTATTCGCTAAGTTTGGTGGATTGTAAGGGCTAGAGTATGAGCCTTGATTGCTCGCACCTAACGCATACTTTCATGTTCTCCGACATGTATTATTAAAATAGCGTTGAAATTTCCTATAGCATCTCATTTACAAGCATGATATCATTTATGGAATGGAACACTATTTCGAGCCTCCGCTTCTTGTATGTCACTCAACTGCTTGTATTGCTTCTACTATGCACGCATTGTCTCAATAAAACCAGCGGAAATAAAAGAAACCCCACGCATGTAATAACAACAGTTGATGAGAACCAAAAAGTATGGGTACCCAGTATTCTAACCATGAAAACCCGAATGCAAACCACAATATCCAAATGTCCATCCATCTATCGTCCGATTCCCTAATGGAGACAAAATTGCACGTAACAGGGAAACCACCCGAACAAAAGAACGATGCTTTGATAAGGAGAAACAACATCAAAGCGAAAGAACAGCAAAGGCAACTCCAGCGCCAATCCAAGGTTGAAGGGGATACCATCGCCCCAAGACTAATTAGAGAACAAGAGATATAATGCATCACATTCCACCACTAGTAGGAAAGAACGTTGAATGCAGTTGGGAATACATGGATATAAAACAAAACGAAACAATAATATGCATGGAAGTGGTGGAAGTAGCCCTTGGGCTATAATTTATGCTCAAAAGTGGTATGACCGTAAGAGGATGTTGTTGTAAGGAGATTTGAAGTGAGAGGAATGATATATAAAATGACATCTAGTCCGGTAGAACGTACACCGGGGGAGTCCAGTAAGTAATATACGGGTATGCAGCCTGTAATTGCAGGATATAATCATGGTATACTCAGTCCAGTGATCCAAGAAACTTGCGCCCAAGGAAAGAAAGGGGTTTCCGTCGATTTCTATATTAGTCGTGAAATTAGATATCAAAACTTTTTTTGAAAAAGTCATAAGATAAAAGTATTTCTCAAATTTCAGAAGCATCATCAGTGGCATTCTCACTACCGAGAGATGCTCGACTAGTTGTAAAACGGCGCCGAGAGTGACCAGATTTATCGATTGACTCCTGCTAACCAGTTAGTTTTATGCATGGTAATTAGCTGGGCTGTTGACTAACATCTTGATCCTCTATTGCAGAAGAGCCCATAGGACCAATATCAGAATGCGCCGTTTTGCTTCTTGGAGGAATACCCATAGAGTCTGTGGACGGTGCACCACTGGCCTGGAAAGCATGCGAGTTCAAAGGTAAATCAGGAGACGCGGACCGTTCAGTTGAAGTACGGCTGGCAACACTATTTGAACCATCCGAGTGAGGGGTGCTCAGGATTGACTGGCCGTCTAACAATTGAGAGGAACTAGCTAGCTCTCGAAGACGCTTTTGTTGCTGCTTGTTTGGCCGATGATGGGAGAATTTATTGCCAAGTATTGCGGGTGCATGTGAAATCAATGCCTTGATTGCATCCTTTTTTAGCCGGAGAGCAAGGTCCAAGTTAGACCACGACTTATTTCGATATTCAAGAACAGGCAGCCTGAAAACAAAGTCATGGATATCTTCAATATTTCGCTCTCCTTTGCCCTTGTAGCTTAAACAGAGTACAACATCGTTGATCTTCACATGAGTAAGGATCATGAAATTTGATGCGCGAGATATCATCCGAGAGAGATCATCTGCTCCATGCGCTTTATCGATATGCACTTTGGTTGGTGGTCGCTTGAGAGTAGGCCTCTTTGGTTTCTCTTCAGCTTTATTTCCAGCTTGGCTTCCGAGAGACCAATCCGAAGCTTGTCGTCTCAGCACAGTAAGGCTATCAGCGGATGCTTTCTTCGCCAAAGTACGACGCGTAGGCACTTGTGATGTAGACAGACTTCTATCATCTTCAGCCTTACGCTTCTGGGGAGCCGGATCTTTGATTATCGGAGTCATCAACATGGACATTTTAATCCTTCCGGGTGAATGAGAACGGCGTTTGTCAGGCAAGGCTAGAGTAGGCATTAATCGTTGCTCAACAGTACCTAGGCGAGAAGGTGGCCTCTCATCCGCAGATGTACTGGCCGTACTCATTGCTGGAGTATTAGCACCACTGGTTGTGTTGTCAACTTCTGAATCATCGCTAGGCGGATCTATCTGCTTGATCATAAATGGTGAAAAACCTCCATTCTCAAAGGCGTTTGGCCCGGCAGCTGGAAAAGCATATTCGAACAGCTTCTGACCTAACTCTCTTTCCAGTTGTATCTTGAGAGGGAAGAGAGTAACTTCAAAATCATTGAGTACAGGTATTCCAGCAATAGCCTCTAGCATATACCATTTGACTTGAAGCATTTTAGCCTCGTCTTTTGGGTGAGTTCCTCGATGGTCGTCTTTGTATGGAAGGATAACTTGAGGATAGAGCGCCTCCGGTAGTAAGTTAAGCCCATATATGTTCCCAACTTCTATCGTGTTATAATTTGATCCGTCACTATTATCCGTTCTACCGTATGCGGCGTCTCTTAGTTGAAATTCCGCTATCGGCTCTTTACTATTCGTCATGAGATGCCAAACGATTTCCGTTGCAGCAAGAGTCCAGTGTAGTAGTCCACTGGACGCCGATTTTGCGCGATCATCACTCTTTCTTTGAGATGTTGTGATGGCTTTCATCATAAAGAATAGCTCATCTTCACACGTTATCAGGTCTTTCTCTAGTGACACTCGGTCCGCTAACCCTTGTTTGTCAAGATATTTGCCGCGGATTTGAAACAGGCTTTTGATCTCCTCGAGATAACGGATTCGCTGCTGGAGACGATTGACAATTTCTGGCGCACCTCGAAGATCACTGAAGTCAGATGCCAGCATAATCTTTTCCAGCTTCTCGGCCCGAACTTGCTCTCGGGGCTCACTGTACATGAGTAAGTCAAGGGCGATAATATATAAGGAGTAGTACTGTGATGAATCACAGATCGCCCGCACTTGCGGGAAGTCAACAGTGATTTGGTCGATTCGATGTTCTGTAGGGTAGGCGGCGTGCCTATCTTCGTCTGCTGACTCACCAGCGACCTTCTCATTGAATTTCAGTCGCAAGGTATTGAACTTGTCGTAGCGTAAGCTTGCAGATGTTTTCTGGATAATCCTTGAGAACCCGGAAAGGTCGATATCAAAGTCAAACATGGCTTCCACTGAGACCCAAGGCGGCCAGGATGTGCCTGGAGCGTTTCCGTATCCATTTCCACAGTATATATGTATATGGCTAGAAAAGCTCTTTTGGTCTGCGACGAAAAACTGAGCGCTGTCCATGCTAAGTGTAAACTGGCGTTGTACCAGTCCACTAACATCATCAGAGACTCGGTGTTTATCCATAATTGACACGACCTTTAGTTGCATCCCTTTAGCGGTAACAACAGCCACAGATTTCTTATTTTTCTCGCTTTGCAACTGAATTTGGGGAGCAATGAGTCTCAGATGATAGCTGTTCTGCGGTGTGAATTCAGGGGAGATATTGCTACTCGATTTTGAGCTTATAGTAGGATGCTTGCTCTCTCCGGGGGTAGGCGGCTCTGCATTCACAAATCGACTTGCATCATTAAGGAGCTGTTCAATGCGCTCTTCGGTCGACATGTCGTCGTCTCTTTCAATCTCAATATGAGAGCGAGGTTCAACATTCCATGGTGTTTGTTGCTTTTTGCCCATATGCCGGCGTTTTGCCTTGACTTGCTCGTCAACGATATCAAGGATGAACTTCACTGCGCGCCGTGACATGTAGTACACAAATCCACGTCTCTGGTTGACTTGATGTATATATCGCAGAATTATGTTTCTCAAGGAATTATTCCACTTCAATTGGATGTTATGAATGACGAAGCGGTTATCAAAGTCGCTCGCAAACTCATCCTCCGTTGAGGATATTAGAAGATCAGCGTTTTCGCTGCAGCGATGCGAAGACCCATTAGTGTTGCCATTTTGGACAAAATGCATTTCAAGCCGTTGCAGTTCATCCTGAAGGAATTTCCGTCGCTGCTCGAGGGATAGTCCGTGCCTGACCATCGTTTCATATTGCCTTCGAGACTCTTCATCGGCTATGCCGTCGCGGATAGAACGTAGCTCAAATTCGCCAACAACACGGTGATGCGATGAAGACTGAGCTTCCAAAACATTAAGACGTTCCTTAAGCAACTCGATTTGTACTCGCCGGGGATCGTGGTCCTGTGACATAACACATACATGCGTAGGCTCATCTCCGAAGGGACTATAACCTGGCTCATCCGGCCCTACTTTGGTATGATCCGTTTGGCGGAAGAACGAAAACCGAGGGGAATAGGCCAGCGGAAGAATTTGCGTTCTCGGATTGCTTTCTACTGGAAGAACCCAATCCAATTCGACAAAATCATCCATGTCAATCCAGTTCAGATCCTCGTCTGGAATAGTAAAGTTTGATATATCGGCAGGCTGAGATATACCAGGGTAAGTTGGGCTAGAGCCATCCTTCTCATCACCACTGTCTTGAGCAGAGTTGCCAATTGATGATACTGCACGACAATCGGCCGAAATGAAATCCAATTGTGCTCTATTGATTTTCATAGAGCTTGCTTTCGTCGGCTCAAGCCGTCCCTTGACCACGGTAGTATACTCTCGCCGCTGGTGCAGGTCAAGCATGAAGCTATCCAGCCGCACTTTAAGCCCTGTTGCATAAACAATATCTTCCTTGTAGTCCTCTGGATCCTTATGCTTGTAAATGTGGGATACAAAGAGCGGAGACAAGAAAAGTTTATACTTGATAGTGCCGAGATGACGGCTAAACTTTTTACTTGTCTTTGTTAATCCAGGGAAAAGAGGTCCTTGACGGACTGGAAGTGACATCACTCCAGAAAAGAGAGACCACCAGCTAAAGAAATGGGTAAAGAACTTGGGCGTAAGATGGACGGTGTTGTATGAAGCCGATGGCTCTCGGTTCGTAAGAGTCCACTCTCGAGCAACAGGTGCAACAACAGCTAACGAAAGATGTATGTGATTGCTTCTAAACCCACGGAACGCATCATAGTCCTATTACACGGTCAGTTTCATCCTAGAATCACTATATAGGATTGAGTAACGGCTCACCTTTAACTCTTGGGGGCTCAAATACATGGGGTTGCGTAGGACAACCTCGTAATGAGGTTTGAAATCAAAGCATCTCTCTGCACCATTCGCATTTCGTTCAAATACCAAGCCTGCAAGCCAGCGGACGTTTCCAGAAAGCTTCATTATCACCTTCTTGAACAATGCGTCACTCTTCCCAAATCTAGCGGTGCCACTGTTAAACGCTGGTGATTCGTATGAATACCTCGCTTGACGATTATAATCAGGAATAGCAAGCACATATTCACCACTGGTAACTGCAAAGAATTCTTGAGGGTCATAATTCGTACGGATTCCCCATTGAACATCTTTACGCCAGCACATGACGAAACCCGCACCAAAGCCGGTAACAATGTATGGATCACGGGAGCCTATAGATATCAACTGTCAGCGTTCGTCACAACATGAAGCATCAATTAAAAAAACTAGGGCTTACCTTTTAATCTGAAATGGACATCGCCATCTCCTT